TTATTATAAGTATTTAATCGCTTTTATGGCGTGGCTATAACTCGGGACATGAGTTCAGCTCTTTTGGTATATGTATAGCGTACAATAAATATCAATTTCGATAAGTATTCTGTATTAAATAAAAACATTTATGTCTGAACAGATGCCGTGTTATTTATCTATTAAAGGCGTTTTGCCGGAATATTTTTCAGCGTTGATTTTTTTCCCTACAATTCTCCCATCCTTTTGTCCAAATGACACGAAATGTTGTTTAATTCATTTCAGAGATTTTACAACAACAAACCAGTCGTTTAAGTACTGTGCACGGGAACAGAAAAACATTATGTTGGGCTTATTTTAATTCCTGTAGTATGATATATGTTTTTTATAAATGAAATAAACTATTTCATGAAAAACCATCTGTGATATCTGTCTAGTACATGCAAAACAATAACCAGGGTATTACTAGTACGGGTTTGTGGACGAAGACCAGTGTCATTCTGGTATATAAATGTGAAATCCATGTTCTTTCGAAATATGATGGTACAGCACCATGGAGAAGTGTAAAAAATCACTCCACAAGGTGTGGAACACATATCTGGCCGTGAGACTTATATACTGCATTGTCCGAGGGTAGCCAATTACCTTTGGCGGATGACGAGCGCACGTGGAGGGGCGTGGTCAAGGAGCGTTAAATTGTCGAATGTCCAATTAAAAATTTTATAAGTGAGATTGGACTGACTGAAAAAGATGTTCTGCTTGGCAAAATTAATCAGATAGAAAACAGCGGGAGCGTTTAGCTCTTCTAGATAAAACGACGAGGTTTTTGTCTATCAGCATAAACCAACTAGTGATCAGCCCTGGTGCTTGGTTTATTTCAAATTACCCACAATGGTGTTAGGTATATTATATTTCAAATAACCCACAAATCCCTTAATCAGGAAAAACATGTGAAATTCTGTTGTAAGTTAGCACATATTGATAAAACATTTCCAAAACCTGAGAATACCAAGTAAACAACAACCTTAAGACTGATGGTGTAACAGAACAAAGGGTTTTGTTTTAATTTATATTGTACTAAGTTATTGACTCAACAGACTGATGGTGTAACAAAACAAAGGGTTTTGTTTTATCTGGTAACTTTTTGACTCTACAATGATCACTTAACAGTATATATGGATTCTCTTTTGTAACGTCATTTGATTTTTATGTATATAACTTATTTCGCAAATTAAGATCCATGAGTGATGAGGACGAACGAATTTCCTCCAATTTGAGGACAATGCCAAGTAACTTGTATTTTTTGTTTTTAGAAATAAAACTATCATAACTTGTAGATATTCTGATAAATACAGTGGATACAGGCACCTCAAACCATCTACTGTAATTGTCGGCTCCGGTCGTGTCCATTTTCGTACTCGTGTCTTTATACCACATACTTCCCTTCAACCGAGATATTTAGGCAGCCGGACCGAAGCTCAAGGGAGTTTCTAAGCAAGCTCTATAAGCATAAAGGCTGTTCGTTGGGGAAACGAGATTTTCGTTCAGACTTACGTCAACATCCGAAAAAAAAACTATGTAACCATAAATGTGTAGCTGCTATGTTATCGTCGCTAGTCGTGTTGGAACCGTCGTTCTTTACTTTTTCTGCTTTGACGTATAGGAAGGTATTTCCCAAGTCTAGGATATTCTTCGCCAGCTCCGGATCTGCTGCCAATAGGCATTTTCTACACTGGTTTGAGTGGGAGGTACCTCAAACAGATCTAATTCTGATTACGTACGAATTAGAATGAACTGAGAAATATTTTTCTTCAAATTTGTATCAAATTTGCTGCGAGTCGTTGGTGAAGCAAGGAGTTCGTGCATCGAAAATATCCCCTTGTCGTGTTTTCAATCTTTTTCCTGGAGGTCCGGGACTTTGCAAGGCTTTGCGTTTGAGTCGATGTTTTACTTCGGAAATTCGTTTTCTAGTCGACATTTTGATATCTTTACCACTCAACAAATCTTCCGCCAAATCATGCCAGTTCTTAATGTCCGTTTGCTCAAAACCTTAACACAAGACTTCAATGCGGGCGCCACGGCTTTCATCCCCGATCTTACTAGAGGGGAGAGGCGCGGCCGATTTGGAGATATCTTTGAAGACACCCCCTAATCCATGACCTTGCTGTATTCGAACACCTATAAAAACGTCAGCTCAACCTCCGGCTTGATTTAAGTAATATTTATCGAATAGACTTCCGTCGCTACTTTGAGTTACTTTCATTTCATCGATACAAATTTTGTTTCGTATCCACAAAAAAAGTATTTCTGTATTTTTTGTATTTTTATTTTCTTAAAATTTGCTTCTTTATAAAGATTTTTGGCATTTAAAGTATGCCTAACGACCGTCTTCGGAAATATAACGTGACTACAACCTTCCCCCTCTCGAATGGGATGAGCTTATCCGTATCGCCTCTAAGCATTATGTTAATTTCTTGAAATTGTCTTTGACTTATTGAATGGGTTGAAATTCCTTAATCACGACGCGTCCTGGTTTGTCTGAATTCAATGGAAAATGTTCTTACCATCGGGACTCTCGTGTCACCTGCCATTTGAGGTTCTACTCACAGAGATGGAATAGAATCCTTGTATCCTGCCGAAAATCTGCTTTTCTCGAAACCTAACAATTTCGTTAATATTTTCGTTCGCGACGGTACGTATGCCATTAACGTATCTACTGTCGACGTCGTCGACGCTAATTCTGAACATGTCGCCGTGCGATATCATTCCTTTAGCTCCCTACAGATACCCTAATAGGCTTTTCAATGTCGGATAATAACCTGCGTTCAATTGCAGTTTCGCCGATGCTCCGGGATCGAACTGCACAGAAGGGACGTTTTCACTACCGCCGACGAGCATTTCTAACTATAATTCACCTCCGTTCACCTCAAACCAAGAATGAGGATGTTGAATTTCGGCTAAACCGATTTCCCAAGAACCGTTGAGGTCTAGAGGTTGCGATAATCGGGTAGTGTAAGTGGTCAAGGTATCATCGGGGAAATATTCCGTTTAACTGTTACTATGTAGTGTTATGTAAAACATCGTGTTTCTTTGTGATGGAGGGATTAGGCAATAGATAGCCGATACTGCTGCTCAGCAAAGCAATCAACAAAGAATCGCCAAAACTTAAATATACATACTACAAGCAATTACACTGTACAGAATGACGATTTGACAAAAGAAAAAGATTCCCCGATAGGCTATCGCGGTAATTTCTGACCAAATAATAAGTATTATCCGTAGACTTAATCATCTTTTTTGCGTGCGTGTTTTTTTTAGGTTTGTTCTGTCTTCCAATATATAGATTTTTCAAAGTTTCTGATATCGGTCGACGGGAAGTTGATATTTGTAATTTGGGAGTTTGGTATGAAATAGTAGTATCGTTATCGGTTTCGTCGTCGTCGTCATCATCATCATCATCATCATCGTTATCATCGCCTTTCCATTCTACCACATCCTTGTCGATATTTTCTAATCTTCGTTGTATGACTGGAGATTTCGTTCGATGATGATGCGTCGAGATTCTTCGCTGTGTAGCGGGAATTGACCGGAGTAGTTTGTGACGGAGTGGAAGCTACGTTTCTAAATACGATTTATTACTTATCCTACTCTCGGGAATGTTTACGTCTCTGAGAGCCGTCAGGAAAGTGTTCGTGCCCCTGGGACTGACGTGCTTCAGAGATCGGTGACGCGAAGCATTACAGATTCAAGATTCGAACCCGGTATCACCGAATGACCTTCCCCCTTTTCGTTCCATGTCATGTTCTGTTGTAGAAATACAGCATGTCATGTTCTGTTGTAGAAGTACAGCATGTCATGTTCTGTTGTAGAAGTACAGCATGTCATGTTCTGTTGTAGAAGTACATAATGTCATGTTCTGTTGTAGAAGTACAGCATGTCATGTTCTGTTGTAGAAGTACATAATGCCATGTTCTGTTGTAGAAGTACATAATGTCATGGTCTGTTGTAGAAGTAGAGCAAGTCATGTTCTGTCGTATGTCGATGTTTGTTTCAGGTTGATGTATCTAAATTAATTTATGGTTTTCATCACCATCTTAAATAACTGTAAAAGTATGTATCTATCTAGACATTATTGCTCATGTACGTGTATACGTATATAGTAATTATAGTCAAACAGCTGTTGTTCTTCTTTAATCCGATGAGTAGATAGACTCAATGTAAATGAAGAACTTACACTTTATAATGCTAAAATTAAGTCAGATACATCTTGTGTAACAGCTGCTGTTAGATTCTATATTTTCACGGCAAGGACAGGATTTTTACGCCCCCGGATGAAAGATCAGAACTTATTGTATCTGTGTTGTCTGTTTATTTGTCTGTTGTCAACATTAACCTTACCCATAACTATTGCACTGTAAGACAAGACCTTTCTGGTGGTGCCAGACTTTTTGACCATGTGACATTGACCATGACCTTTGACCTACATTTGAAAAACGTTAATATTGGCCATAACTATTGCAGCCTAACAGGTATGGCTTTTATGGTATTCATGTACTCATAATGATTTTCAATCATATTTCCCAAATATTACTACATATTGATTATTTAACAGTATTAGCTGTCTTTTAAATGGAAATAAGCGCTAAAAGACCCTGAAAATGCATAACCAATAGCTTCAATTTAAATTGAATAGTCTAAAAAAGTGTCCGTACATGTTGAATGTTGACAGGGAACATACATCAATCTTCAAAATTTGTAAAAGTTTCAAGTTTCTCTTTTTTCTTTCTATTATATGAAATAAAAGTGTTCTACTTTCTAGGGAAGTGATTGAGTTATCACTCATTTTCATTTTTTGTTTAGCCATGTAACTGGCATTGGAGGGTTGAAATATGTTTCGACAGGTATCCAAAAGGGAAAATGAAACACGATTCTGATGATCAAACAAGTTTCCGACATCAGAGTTATCCCCCTTCTCTGAAATCGTCAGGTGGCGTTCAACATAAGCTTCAGCTCTGCAACATTGGCTGGGGAAGCTGAATGGTATAGACCCATCCGTTTTTTCTTGTTAATTCGAAGCTTGTGTTTAGACTGTAATTTGTTTTTATGTTAGTGTTCATATCAATATGACATAATTGGATATATGTTTGCATGTATCTTTAGATTTCAGTCGCAACTTTCTTGTTTCATTTTTGTCCGGCGAAAGCAATGTCCCTGGCGAAAGACACGGCTACTCAATCAGTAAAAAAAGTGTAGAAAAATAAATTACCGATTTGACAATGAAATTGGCATTGACTGAATAAATACCAGTACAACCTTCCCATAAAATTGCTGACACTGCAAGAATCAACCCTTGATAGGTCCAACCTCTCGATCGCACAAGAAATGCAGGACGTTTCGTCCCAATTTGTAAACAGGCTTCGCATGATGCCATGTTTGTGCCATCAAATCGGCCCAACTCTTAATATAACGGAACTTATCTAGATCATTAAAACTACTGTTTTGTTTCAATTTCGTCGCTTTTACCTGATGGAAACACTAGCTTGCCAAGTTACCACATTTGATGTTGACACTAGTTACGTCTAAGATACAACTTTTTTCAGAGTCCATATAGATGGGAGACGTAAAGCAGTTCCTCTATGCCTGGTGTGGTAAGAGGAAGGTAACACCTCAGTATGAGTTCAGTCAGAGCGGAGCAAAGCACAAACCAAGGTTCAAATGTGAGGTAGGACTTCATTTGTCATTTGATCATTCTACAGGAATCCCCTGATGTGATCCTTAAGTGGATAGAAACTGCTTTCAAGACCCTCCCCCACCCTCTAAGGAAAAACAAATATATTACTTGTTCATGATTGCAATAACATTCTGCCTTCACTGGTCAAAGAAAATATTAGCACCATTCAGAAAATTTGTGAAAGAGAATCCTGTTCATCCAAATTATTTTTGGTCTTTTAATCTTGAATATTGAGTCTGACAATAGCTGTCAGGTACTGTTTGAAATTAGTGGTGTGTTTTTACCAGGTACGCGTTGAGGGATTTGACTATATAGGAGTCGGTAACTCTACCAACAAGAAGGATGCCCAGGCCAACTCTGCCAAAGATATCACTCAACATCTTGTTAGACAAGGCCTGATACAACAGTCGGAGGTCCCAGAAATGGGGGTAAGAGAAAAATTTCTATCAAAAACACTTGATATTACCGACAGTAATATTGTATTTCATCTCTCATTGTTTCATAGTCAGTGTGAAGTTTGCACACTCCTTGAAAACCTAAAGAACACTGAGGATTTGTAGATGGGTTCATCGATCTTAACATTATGCTTGAACATCTCACAAATGTTACAATTTTCATTTTTATGCCAAAATTTTGCTCTGTAATATACCATATAACAGTATACATTGAGTATGGCATTGTCTGTTTCAGCAGAGCTTTTCAAAACTTGATATAATTAGCCAACTAAAAATACAGAGATGTTTTCCTTATTATCAGTTTGATATACAATAAATTTCTCTTTAGCATCGCCATACATTGTTCTTCCCTGTGGTATTAAGTGCCAAGCAAACATTTAAAATTTACTAAAAGAGTGAATATTATTTTCTGATCTCGTCTCTCAAACAACATGGTATATGTATGTTGATTATCAAACACTAATACATTGTTAGAAAAACAAAAAATGTGAAGTGTTTTTTTAATATTTCCCGACATAGTTCATAATCAGAATTTGTTTTTTTCTATTTTAACAGCCATCAGTAGCAGCTGGTGGAAGTCAAGAAGGTGGAGGGGCCATGGGGAGAGGCACAGGGTTTAGTGGACTTCCTGGAGGTGTGAATGCACCGCACCAGTCTCTAGGCCTAGGTAATATTTAGACCAGGTGATGTTTAAACATCCTGAGAATTTGAATATACCACATCATTCAATAGACCTGTAACAGAGGTCATTATTTATTTCAATGCCTCCACTAAGGATCAAATCCGGTACCCCTGGCTTACTAGTCTTGACATTTAACCAATTGAGCTAAAGAGAAGTTCTCTCTAGCCGAGTGGTATGATGCGGGTAGTATTTTACCAGGGTTACAGACCGAAGATAGTAAATGGGTGCAAAGAGTGACAAAGGGCCCTGCCAATTGCTAGAAATATTAATTTTGTTGCACCTGGTGTTAATTCGTCTTTGATTTTCCCCTGGTTAGGGATAAGGTTTACTATTGTTTATATAGGAAAATCATATTTTTGAGCATAAGTTTTGTATTTTCTATTGGAAATAGAGCAAACTTGGTAAGAATTGTAAACATAGGATGACAGTTTGATGTCATGATCATATTGACCCTGGCTAACCCCAAGAGGCTGATGGCCATGGCCAAAAAAGTTCAAATTGACTGAAATTTCAAAAATCTTCTTCTCAATAATTAGATATGGTAAGATTAATTACTGTTCATGGATGGAAGGGTCTTAAGGTGCTTTTTACCTTGGCTGACCCCGGGCTGATGGGTGCATTTACTGAAATTAAAAAAAAAATCTTAATACGGCAGAATCAAATACTCTTCATAGATGGAAGGGTTTTAAGGTAAAACTCTCTGTCACAATACACAAAGTATTTCTTATTTTCGCTTCTTTAAGCTAAATATTCAGTTGTTTCCGTTTGTGAGTTCACTCAGGTGACTGTTCAGGTCCAGGGGCCCTATTGCGAACACTTCTGTGGTCATTCATTGTGCATCAGTAACAATTTAACTTTTTTCTACTTCTTCTCAAAAAACCCTGAAAAAATTTCAATGAAAGTTTGCAGAAATCTTCCCTGGCTTAGGATGAACCAAAATTGTGAATTATATGGTCCCCACTTCACATGGGCCTGAGGGGCAGGGTCAAAAGGTTTCAAATTGATTCAGATATCAAAAATCCCCATGGAAAGGGGTAAATTTTTACTGAAGTTTATATATGAAAACTGGATTTTTGAGCATAATTTGTTTAACTTGTTTAGAATTATGAACAGTTTGGCAGCTGTATGGTATGCCCATATTGATCGTGGCTATAGTTTAGTTTTTTCCAAAATTGATTTTTGAGCATAATTTGTTTAATTTTCATTGAAAATATTTCAGACTTGGTTAGAATTATGAGTGAAAGATGCATGCATTGACACTGGCTTACTATCATCAATGTCACAATTTCTTTTTCATAACACTTGAAAGCTACAAACCCTTTAACCTTTTTAATCAATATTGCTTATCTTAGTTGACCGCCAAGGCAGATAGGCCTCTTTTTACAATATGAAGTCTTTGTTCAAAGTTATCTGATATTAAAGATCTGTTTTTAAAATATAGCATCTTACATGTCATATGACTAAAGCCTGCAGTTGGTTATGTAGTGTGTTGAGATTTACACAGTTAGCCAAGGAAGCAGAAGTACCTAAAAGCTTTATTTTGTGCTAGGTGGGCCCAGCATGCCCGAACAAAAATTTGATGGCCCTGAACGGGATTTTCCTGCCTACGAGAGAGGACCACCACTCAGCTATATGGAAAGGATTGCTGAGAAAAGGAAATTAGAGGAGGTATAGATTTGGTTCTCTAGATTGTGATTGTTAATTTATGTTTATAATGATTTCAACAAATTTTAATGCTGTTCTATTGACGTCACAACCAGTAACTATATGCTGATGATTTTATTGGATAATTAAACTGGTAATTAATCGCCAGAGACCAAGTGTTGTGTGTATGATGGACCGACATGCCGTAATTAGCCATGTGTTACGCACAGGTGACTTTATACTCTGTGTATGTATTGACCTATTTCGTCGTCAGATGAGCCGACGTTTTGACAAAAATTAATTTTGAGAAATCAAATGACTTTACCCTTGCTTTACAATGGAAGGGACTAAAAAATTGCTTCGACTTGAAATTTGAGTCATCTGAACTAAGATTACAAAGATATAGATAGAAGAAAATCAGTACTTAAAAATTATTTTGACTCAAACGGAGTTTCAACTTGAGCGATTTTGAGACGAGTTTCAACTGTATATGTTAATGGTGTTCATTTGGTGTCTCAATATGGAGATTTGAAACATTAAGGTAGAATTTTGAAGGGGATTTTATTTTTGCAGTGATCTGTCCGACACCCCTCTCTTCTAGCATTTACATTCAATGGTGATGAGGTACATGTTACACCATTATTTCATAAGATTTATCATTATTTGCAATTTTCAGATCTTGTTTGTCTTATGTGTGATTGCATTTATTGGAATTGAATTGTGTTGTTTTGTTGAATGAATAACAGTATAACAAGGCAATAACACCAGACTGGTCTTACTTCTATAGAGCAAGACTATAATTAAGGTATTGATTGAAAAATATTTGATCCATCAACTTTATCTTGATTGCAGTCAGAAGATGTTGACTTTAATGCAGATATCCATGGAAACTGGACTTTGGAAAATGCTAAAAGTCGTTTGCACCAGTTTCTACAGGTAAACAAGATTCAGACAGACTACAAGTACAGCATGGTGGGACCAGATCACAACAGGTATCTTAATCAAAATTGATAATAATGCTTATCTAAGTCAAAATAGTGGATTCAAGAGTAAATTATGAGCAAAAAAGAATAAAGATCAGTTGATGACTTGTCAAAAATGATATTATGACAGAAAAAACTAACAAGTCTGTAATTTTACAATAAGGTATTAAAATTGAATATTGAAACCTAGCAAGGCCTGAAGTCATTGGAAATGGACAATGTCTCTTGTTATTAACTTTCATGGTGTCTTTGGTATCAAAATTCTTTGTTATATGACATTTTTGGTTTTTCATTTTTACAGAAATGTTTAATTTTCAGGGACTTTTGACTTAATGAAGTCAATGTTTTTATCGCACCATCATTTGAGGTTACAATTTAATCACAACCAACAGTGATCATTTTATCTATATCTTTAGAAGTATTTTTAGACTAATTATAGAAAATAAATTGGCTAACAGACGATTGATTCCAACAGTAACCTTGTCAGGAAATGCTTAATATTTGGTTCATAGACATGCCTATTCAGTTTTGAGACTGATTGGTATAACAAAATTGCCTGCAGACTGCCAATCGTGACTTTAACAGTGGAAGTTTGATATTGCTAATTGTCAATTTCCCACAAATTTATGGAGAGATCTTACACAAAAAATAGCATTTGTTAAACAATAGTCACACGATTCATTCATCTGTTGATTAAACAAACTAAAAAGAGGAAAGAAAATAAATGACAATCAGAAAATACATAAAAACCAAATTATTTGATATCCAACCTGGTCCTTTTGTTTACAATTGATTTTTTTGATAAACTTAAGAACCACCATCTTATATTGTACTTTTTTCAGGTTGTGTTTCACATCACAAATTCTAATAGAATTACATTCAGACCACGTAATAGTGAAGGAGGGATTATTGCTTTTAGCACAAAACTTTTGTTCAGAAAATTGTAAAATAGATTTTTTTTTTAAATGATGATAAAAGCATCCACCAAAGTGACAATCTAGATAGTAACATGGTGCTGTCACTGTTGTCATTAAGATATGTATACAATAGTAAAAATGGAAAACAACACAATATGTAGAAATATGACCTTGGCATTGGAAATTATTTTAGATATATGGAGAAGTAAATGGAATATTTATTCTAATTTCAGTATTCAAAAATATTTCTAAAATGTAACATGATATATTCTGCAGTTAAGGAAATGACACATGACAGCAACATTTATAGATATAGAATAATGTGTCAGGGCAATATATACATACAGTCTGGTGGGGTACAGCTTATGTCACTATCACTGCACACTCAACTCTCTGGTTAGACAGGGTCACTATTAAACAGATTGGAAATCACAACTTATTTTGACTCTTACTTTTGATACCCTGTGTACAGACTTTAGTGTTAATGTAAAGAGAAGACTTCACTGCTTTAGACCAGACAAGCGGTGGAGAAATCATCATACAACAGCTTCAAGAGCAGACTAAGTTTCAACAGATCTAAAAATCACCTAGTGTACAGTACAAGGCCTGGATGATAATAACTTGATCAATCTGTAAACAGCAATGGTTCTTATGACAATATTTAAAATTAAAACTATGACATAGTGTAATTTTATAAAATTTTATCATGATTTCATAGAAATGAGTTTTAAGGTATCTTAAAAGTGAAGTCATATATTTTTATGTGTCTCCCTAGCTATGTAGTTTGTTGTCTTATAATAACAGTCCTATGCTTATAGTGAGGTTTGATGTACCAGGGTATACAAAAGTACAGAGGAGAAAGATTCGCAACACATTGCCTGTATGGTGGTTTACACCTAGCAAGCAATGGATTCTTAACAAGCATCAATATTTTATGTAAAAATATTAAGTGTTAAAACTGGCACCATTAAGGCAATGGTTAAACTTACACTTATCATTGGTCTAACCAAAGAGTTGTGTTGTCATGGATAACAGCTGCCAGTGCCATCTGGTGTGCAAACTGAGAACCAGAAACATGTACCCCACCAGGCTGTGTGGCAGAGCCATGGAATCATCACTGGTAAGTACAATATACACATATATATTGTATATATACAATAAGTGTTAAGTTCTTTGTCTCTTTTAACTAAGCCTGATCATAGCTTGTTGATGATAATTTTACAAAGCAATTTTACAATTTGATTGTTCACACACAAAAAAAAAAAATTATGGATTTAAAAAAATCAGGATTCAAACAACTTAAACACAGAGGATTCTAGATAATATATTTATACCAAACCTTAATACCTTAATTTTCAATTTAAATTGATTGTTTTTGTTAAAACAAGTTATAAAAAACAACAGCTAAGAGGAACTTGAGTTTAGAGGCAGTTCCTCTTAAAACATGTCTTGTGGTTTTAACCCCTCTACATCAGTTAAATCTACTGATCTATGATCATTCTTACTAAAATTCAGGTATTGACATTCACGTGGAAGTCAGAGACCATGGTTTGCTTGCAATACCCAGTACAGGAAAACTTGATTATAACGAATTTGGATTGTACAAAGTTTTGGACATAACAAACTGGAGACAATTCCATGCCTGCATCACTATTTATCATTAATAGTATAACCACTTGTACAACAAATTTCTATAACAAATTTTGTTCGTAATAAACTCATTCTATTTAACTTCTTTTGTTTTTCAACACTCGCATAACAAATCGCTAATGAACCATAAAATGTTACCTTTACATTTTTTCAGCTTATGTTCTTCATTGATTTCTGTGTAGACATAGAATGGAGATCCAAAGTTTAATATCAAAGGGTTAATAAGAATTCGACTAGTTCTATAGATAAATTAAAATGAGTGAATACTGCTGAATGTAAAACTAGTGTTTCTACCTCCAAATACAACCAGTGGACTTCGGCCCATGGATTGGGGCATGATATACAACATGAAAGTAAAGTACTGACGATTAATGTCGACAACAATCTAGTTAACACTGCTGAAATTTGATAGAATGATATCGTGGGATTCCGATAGTGAGGAAGAAGAAGAAGAAGAACATAGCTTTCCTCAGCCAGTGCAAACATTAAACTCAGTCCAAGAAGACTTTGGGGAATTATCCTATTTTATTGAGGCACAATCTAACATTTCCGACAACACATTCAACTCAATGCCCTCAGTACAATTATATTTAGATGAGATGACTGACAGGTGTTAGTGGCAAAAGTCTATTCTGGACTTTTTAGGGAAAAAGAGAACTAATGAACATGTTTTTAGGTGTTATAAATGTACCTCTTTGGAATAAAACATCATTTGTTTGTATAGTTATTTATGTTTGACTTGCTTAAAACACGTAATGTTAAGCCGTGGTTAGACATAGCTTGGCTTAAAACAAATTTTGTTTTAGATTTAACTTCCCTTCATTCTAACTATACAACAAACTACTCATATAGCAAATTAAAATAAGAAATCCCTTGAAATTCCTTATAATCAAGTTTTACTGTACACTGCTTTGTTGCAATGTCATTTTCATAAAGAGACAGGAGGTGTTACTGCTATTTATATGAGCTTTGCCTTTCCAGTATTATTTTAAGTTTACCAAACAGAAGCTGTTTCACATACTGATCTTGTTTCGAAAAAGAAAATAATAATGTAACTAATTCTTCTTCCATCATCACTTTTGCAGGAGTTTTATCGCTGAAATGAAGTTCTATGTCAACAAACTTGGTCAAGGTAAGTCATACATTGTATTATGTATTCATCAGTGTTCTATTGATTCACAGTTCACAGATATTGTAAGTTTCTTAGTAAGATTTTAATATATTCAGCCATTGAATAAGATAAAACTAAATCATCAATATTCAAGTTTATATGTTTATAATTCTTGATAAGATTTCATGAAAAGGTTATCTTTTTTGTGTGCCAAAAAATATTTTTTTCTCATAAATTTCCAGAAAAAAAAATCAACATTATCAATGGTTAGTACAATATCAGATGGTGAAATAATTAGTGATATTGATTCTTGTGTCACTAATTTTAGAAACATTGTATAGACATTTTATTTATAAATTCATCTTGTCAAAGTTTAGAGACAGTTATATTCTCATTTCGATTGGCAGTTATGGATTTGTATTTTGGGACAGAGAATTCGGTCATATAGACCTGAAACGTGATATTAACCTAGAGTTAATGTCACTTTAAAGGTTCATATAAATGACAATATTTACCAAACAAAAGTTCATAGTTGGCACCAATTTTTCATTGGTAGGACATAACATGACAGCCGATCAAGTAAATTTCATCAATTACAAAATGTAGATTATTTTCTCTTTAGGCATATTGTCTTTACACATATTTATGTTACAGTTATATATGCACAAGAGCACGGCTCCAACAAACAGGTGGCATCTAAGTCATGTGCCCTGTCCCTGGTACGCCAGCTCTATCATACTGGTGTCATAGAGGCATTTACAGGCCAGACAAAGAAAAAGGACACAGAGAAGGTAGGACTTACTGTTAAACAATGATAGATCTTTGGACAGATTTATTTGAAATTCACACATTAGTGCTACATCAACAAGTTGAACACCTGAGAATATTTTGGTCATTGGTCAAGGTTAAAAGTCAAAATCTGTTTTGACCACTTTTGAAGTATATTATAACACTTGTGTACAAGATATATTTCTTGAACCCCTGCACAGATTTCTTTAATTAACATGATTGACCTCAACTTTCAAGTCATGCGATCATATTCGATATATAAGATGTTAAAACTTTCAATATCCAGAGATTTATTAACATTAAGTAGTGATGAAGAGTGACAGGGAAATTTGCAAGACTTAGGAGAACCGTGTGTAAGGTATCAATGTGATATGTTGCAGTTGGAGCCCCATGAAGTGGCCATAGCACCTGAATTAGAAGCTTCTATGGACAAGGCTCTTGAAGACTGGAATATTTTTCCCATCCCAAAGGTAACATTTCTTTATATTACACTAGTAAGTCTATGGAGGGTTGTACTTGCCTAATAAAGTTGAACAAGACAATGGTAATATTGATAATCCTAGTTACACTGACTTGTAGATGTAAGTGAACAGAGTATAGCTATATTTGAACATTTGTTGTATATTGGCGCCATGGCAACCCACTTGCCTTTCACCTATATGACTGGGCCTCCATTTTCTGACCAGACATGAAAAAGTATGGAGTCACCTGCCTGACCATGTGGGTTTTCCCCATTATACCTCTGTCCTAGCATACAGAAGTGATAAACATGTAATGATAAGCTTGTATTGCGACTGTTATGAAATATATATATATAAACTTTATTTATTTTACAACAATTGCGAAACAAGTTATGTCAACTTATACTAATCACTCTTGTTGGCCCGGATGTAAGCGCGCGAGGGGTCTTATTGTGGGAGGAAACCGGAGTACCCGGGGAAAATTATGTTATGAAATAGATAATGTTTATGTACTGTCTTTGAACATCGAAGATAAATCCTGTTGTTTTTTTTTGTTAACTTGCTATCAAAGCCAACTGATGGTAGTCAGCCTAGCTCCATGCTCACACACACAAGTCTGGAAGAATTTGAACCGGCCAGTCGTCGTAACACTGGCGGTGTAGTACCGTGGTCACCACCTCAGCCGAACTGGAATCCGTGGACAAATTGCAACATTGATGAGGGACCATTAGCTACGGTACACAAGTTTTTAAAACATCACTTTCATTGAATATCAAATTTTGTTTATTACAAATGTATGTGTACATACAGAGTAAACCATCTGTGTGAATTAAAAAAAGTTCATGGTAAAAAAGTTGATAAAGTTGATATGTAATGGCTTTGTTCATCTTTCTAAATTTCATTGTTCTTGAAGTTGTTCATCTAAAATATTTCAAGTGGTTGAAATGTTTCACTAGTTGTATGTGTCATTATTACAGGCAACAATGGATGAAATCAGTCAAGACTTGTATAACAACTTTGAAAATCAGAAGTCAACAGACGAAAGCCTTCATCATGTAAGTCATATCATTATATACCAGAGACAAAATGATTTAATTTGTGTCTTATCAATTATTGGACAGAAACTAGACAAATTATACATCATCTAGCAAAGGGAAACAATAATTGAATTATTATATAAAAAAGTATCTCACAATATGGAAGTTAATCATTCATAATTAGATAGCTTATTTATCCTACAACATCTCTAGAGACCCTACATAAACAAAGTCTGAATCAATGTAAGGGATAAGTTTGATACAAGACAAAGCATTTTAATTTAATTCTGGTAAACAGCAATAGATATTGGTGGGCTTATAACTGATAAACAGCAATAGATATTGGTGGGCTTAATACTGATAAACAGCAATAGATATTGGTGGGCTTATTACTGATAAACAGTAATAGCATTGGTGGGCTTATTACTGATAAACAGCAATAGCATTGGTGGGCTTATTACTGATAAACAGCAATATATATTACTGGGCTTATTACTGATAAACAGCATTAGCATTGGTGGGCTTATTACTGTTAAACAGCAATATATTGGTGGGCTTATTACTGATAAACAGCAATAGATATTACTGGGCTTATTACTTCTTGATGGCTAGGTATGGCAATGATTCTATACAAATGTTCTATCAATATGTTGTAATTTTATATTATTTTATATAACATTGGCTGTTAAACACTGATTTGGTAAATAGAAAAAAATAATGGTTTTTGTGTTTTGTTGGCTTTAGATGTTAGATGAGAGGTCTAAATTACCAGTGTGGAGTTCTCATGATCACATTCTCCAGACCATTCACGAAAATCCAGTGACACTTATAAGAGGCGAGACAGGATGTGGTAAAACTACTCAGGTGATTGGAACATTTGATAAAGTTTCTATCACTGTGTGGGACAAAGAAAAGCATTGACGTTCTCCATCTTTTACACCAATGATATCTCAGATTGATACAATTCAGAAACATCCTGTCTGTGTGACAAGTCTGATGGTGTCTTACCCAAAAGTTGAAGCTTTCACAGTTCAGTTGTTACTATCTGATGTTGTTGAAATATGCAGTGAGTGTATCCTGATCTGATAGGTACTAGGGTACATTTCCAAACTTCAGTTGTTGTCTAAACTGGTTTGAATACGTAATTTATTTAGTGTTTCAGATACATAAGACTAAGATTAGATATTTCAATTGTTATGAGGGTAATTTGCATAGAGATGTTCTCATAAAATGTCTGTCATTAAGAAAACTATAGCTCCCAAATCCAATGTTCATTACAATATGTATATCTGTTATTTATATGTAAGCCATTGCAATGTACTTATACTGCAGTATCATCCTAGGTACCACAGATAATTCTGGACCAAATGGTGGAACAAGGACGAGGGGCAGAGTGTAATATCATTATAACACAGGTACTAATTCCTACTTAAATGTCCTTCTGAAATGAAGTTTAAAGATTAGTTAAAAAAACATAGACCACACTGAAGATTTATCAGAGACACAAATAAAGATTACACAACCAATGGCTAATTTTTATGTTATTTCTTTTGCTCGAGCTTGTTATTTTTTGATAGTTACAAAATATCACAAGCTTTAACTTTCACATTTTTTAAGAATTAGATCTTTGATCTGACACTAGAGACCAGTTGTTTGATGTTGTAGCCACGAAGGATCAGTGCTGTATCTATAGCTGAGAGAGTAGCCCAGGAGAGATGTGAAGATCTGGGGCTCAGTACAGGCTACAGTGTCAGATTTGAGTCCATTTTACCTCGTTCATATGGTGCCATCCTCTACTGCACTGTAGGTAGGTCAGAACATTTTATATCAAGTTATGATTTTCATTTTAAATGAAATTTTAAGTTTATTCAAAAACAATATGGAAGCTTAGAACAAAAATAGAAGGTAAAGCGATTATGTATTCTTACTTCAAATAATTTTCTTGAAAATATTGATTATGTAATTTGTTATAACACTTGTGTTACACAAATGTATGGAGAGAGAATCTGTCATTTACATCAATGTACTTTTTGTTGAACTAATAGAACCTATACAAGGTTACAAGGTTTAGCCATCAGACATAAATTTGGTTGATTTTACTATTGTAGTGTTAACTTTATCTAGGTACGTTGTTGAGGAGGCTGGAGAATGGAATGAGAGGAATTTCTCATGTCATTGTGGATGAAATTCATGAGCGTGATATAAATGTAAGTATCGTATAAAATTCACATTTCTTATGTTATTGTGTGTAACATTATGTTGTAAGCTTGGCACTTGATGCTGAATAATATGAAGCATTGGATTTGTATTTGTATAGACGGATTTCCTGTTAGTAATGCTGCGTGACATGAAGAACACCTACCCCCAGCTGAGGGTGATATTGATGTCTGCCACTGTAGATACCACCCTATTTACCGAGTACTTTGGACAGTGTAAAGTGGTGGAAGTGTATGGTCGTACACACCCTGTACAAGGTGAGTACCATACTTTGGAAACAGCTAGACGGCAGTGGTCTTTTCTTTTTGAGTAACAACGAACACCCCCTCCCCCTTCCTCAGGAGGTTTATCTATGTATGAACTTGGCACAATTCAATATAATTTAGTAGCAAACCTTTTTACTTCAGAATGTATTGCTGTGTGGATTTTTCCACAAATTATAGTGTGCATCCACAAGCATTGCACATTCAAAATCAAAAATAGAACTATAAGTTATTATATATTTTATCTCATTGTTGTTATCTATCGGTGCAGACAGGCACAGTCGTATTACATCATGTAATATTACTTAAAAGACAAACAAAAATCTGCAGCTCCAAAACATTTTAACTCAAAAAAGGCACAAGAGGTTTTTATGAACACCAAATGTTTCATATCTCAAATAGAAATCATTTTCATTATCATTTTGGAATAAAATTTTTGAGTCAGTAGTATTTTTCTTGGTTACGCAGTTGCAACAAACCCAACTAATTTTTTTTTTTGGCCTTATAGAATATTACCTGGAGGACTGTATTCAGATGCTCAACTTCATTCCGCCTCCATCGGATAAACGCAAGAAACGAGACAAGGATGAGATTCTGGATGATGGAGAACCAGAGGTATAATGATGTTAATGTGTCTTTGCTCTGACATTTTGAAAAAAATGTAGCATAGAACCATGAAAAGTATTAACTGAATAATATTATTTATTTTGAAGGAGAACTGTAACTTGAATGTTGGATCGGAATACTCTGAACATACCAGGAGGGCCATGGGGATGCTAAACGAGAAGGAGATGTCATTCGAATTGATAGAAGTAAGATCATTAATTGGTAGACAATAAGACCTTCAGTTACCGTCAGGTGTACTGATCAGGTCGCCCTCATAATCCATCTACAGTTACTGTCAGGTGTACTGATCAGGTCGCCCTCATAGTCCATCTACAGCTATCTGTTGTGTGGACCAATAGACAGTAGGACCTACAGTTACTGTCAGGTGTACTGATCAGGTCGCCCTCATAATCCATCTACAGTTACTGTCAGGTGTACTGATCAGGTCGCCCTCATAATCCATCTACAGTTACTGTCTGGTGTACTGATCAGGTCGCCCTCATAATCCATCTACAGTTACTGTCTGGTGTACTGATCAGGTCGCCCTCATAATCCATCTACAGTTACTGTCAGGTGTACTGATCAGGTCACCCTCATAGTCCATCTACAGTAATCTGTTGTGTGGACCAATAGACAGTAGGACCTACAGTTAGGACCTACATCTACAGTATCTGTTGTGTGGACCAATAGTCCTACAGTTACTGTCAGGTGTACTGATCAGGTCGCCCTCATAATCCATCTACAGTTACTGTCAGGTGTACTGATCAGGTCACCCTCATAGTCCATCTACAGTAATCTGTTGTGTGGACCAATCAACATTAGGACCTACAGTTACTGTCAGGTGTACTGATCAGGTCGCCCTCATAGTCCATCTACAGCTATCTGTTGTGTGGACCAATAGACAGTAGGACCTACACTTACTGTCAGTTTGTTGATGGCTTTTTAGGTTACCTAAGACAAACACCCATATATATTAGAATCAAATGCTCTTCTTGGATGGAAGTAACTTATGGCGCTTTACCAAAATGGTTCTCATATTTCTTCCTCTGGAGGAAGTTTCTTTTTAAACTTTACTATATTTTTCATATTGAAAAACAGCATTTTTGAGCATAACGTTGTTTATTTCCCATTGGAAATAACTTTGTAAGAATTATTAGCATAGAAAGACAGTTTTGATGATATGCCTGTAATGACATTAGCTTATTATATTCAGGTGTAACAATATTTGTTTCATGACACTTGATAACTACCCTTTAACCTTTTTATTCAATATTGCTTATCTCAGGTGACTCTCAAGTCTGCTAGGCCTCTTGTTTTTGTTAACTGTAATGATTTATCATGTTTTATGTACATGTTGAATTTCACATTTGATATTTGTTTCTTTCCATTGCTTTAAAGGCCCTGATTAAGTACATCAAGTCGTTGAATATACCAGGAGCAATCCTCATTTTTCTGCCAGGCTGGAATCTTATATTTGCTCTTCACAAACACCTAGAGATGCACCATGAGTTTGGTAAGGTGGTAGTAGATTTGGTGTGAAGGTGAGGGTGTGTGTGTGTGTGATAAGAGGTGGATGAAATAACTGGGTTTCTTTAATGATTTAAGATACTGTCTGATATACTTAGAAAGTGTTGTTGGCATCCGAAAAGAAACAAAGAAAAATAGTATAGGTAGGGTTTTGTTAGTGACTGTTTGAAGCTCTACAGATTGTTTAAATAACTCATTGTTAGTTTAATGAAATATATACTGTTGAAATACTTATATTAACACAATCTTATTCAAACACATGATCTTTCTTTTTGGCAAATTAGTGAAATAATGAATTTGCTCATCCACAGAAAATGTTATATAAACAAACAGAAACTACAATTAGCTTAGTCTTATTTTGACACATTGCTTTACATGCTCAACTAAAATTAAGATTAAATATAAACTTAAACTGTTTGTAATATTTGGTGTAGTCTTTGATGAATCGTAGTCTGTTTAAAGTCTGTTGAAGAAAACGAAGAAAGATGCCAGGCAGGTTATTCTTGTCAATGTATGAATAAAAGGATAAGTGTTCTGTTGAGTAACTTTTTGTATCATAAAGACAACTCCTGGTATGTTTACTGTGCTTTATCAATAAATTGTCATGTAATGAAAACTTGGACCTGATAATTTAAAGAAAAAAGTGACAGGTTGTATGTATATGTAATACATATTGTGTGACAGGTGGACGCCAGTATCGCCTATTACCCCTCCACTCGCAGATCCCTAGGGATGAACAGAGGCGGGTCTTTGAACCTGTCCCTGACGGTGTCACAAAGGTATGTCAGCACTTAATACATTGAAAATAATAAGTTGTGAGATAAAAAAATCATAGCTAGATGTAGTTCAGCTTTGTTTATTACTCTGTATGATGGTAAAAAAATTTTTTTTGTATTTTCTAGTTCTAATATTAAGTAATTGTGTGTGAAATGTATTTCAGATTATACTGTCAACCAACATAGCTGAAACTAGTGTGACGATAAATGATGTGGTCTATGTTATAGACTCGTGCAAGTAAGTTTGTTGTCTGTTTTTATTTCTTGGGCTTAAAAGAGTGACTCCGAATAATCTTATTTGGAAAAAAAAGAAAGGAAATTTTGAAGTGCTGTTTTCTTTGGTGTTGCTGTAAACTGCTTCATATTTTTCACATTCAAATCCAGAAATATTTTGATTTTAAATTTAAAAATTATGTAAAATTGATATTTAAATGAACTTTTAAGTACCTTACAGTATAGCAATGTTAATGTTTGCTAGACTGCCTTGAGATCCAGTTTATGTAATATTTGTGGCTGCTTTATCTAGTCTTTCGATGAGCTCCCACATAGTTACCTTGGTATTAGCCAATTATGAATATGATAAGCCATACAAGGATCAGTTAATTTTAAAAATTATGTATTAATGAGATTTCTCAGTTCATACCGTCTTCACTGATATAGATAGACGTGTACATTTGCATGCAATTAATATAATAATCTCAATTATTTTGAAAAAACTTTAAATTTAAGATAATTTCGCACTTTTTTTCAGAGCTAAAACATTAAAGAAAATTTTGCACTTTCTTTCGGAGCTAAAAAATGTAAGATAATTTCGCACTTTCTTTCAGAGCTAAAATGAAACTGTTTACATCCCACAACAATATGACAAACTACGCCACAGTGTGGGCATCAAAGACAAATCTTGAGCAGAGGCGGGGCAGGGCAGGTCGTGTGAGGGCTGGCTTTGCCTTTCATCTATGTAGTCGTGCAAGATACGAAAAGTAGGTTATCTTGGATCCTTTTTGTTTTTTATTTTTTGAAAATCGGCTTAAATATATGGCTTATGGTAAATATAGCTTAAAGAGATACCTGGGATAACTTTTGTGGTGTAAGTTTTGAAAGAATAAAAAAAAAAAAAAAATGTAATTAAAGCTTACAGTAAGTTATATGTTTGACATAAAGAGAAATATAGATTTTGATAAAGGATGATACTATATGCATTTTGTTTTAGGTTGGATCAACATACCACTCCAGAGATCTTCAGGACACCTCTACATGAGTTGGCACTGTCCATCAAGTTACTACGCTTGGGTCCTATTGGTCCATTCATGGCCAAGGCTGTTGAGCCTCCTCCAATTGATGCTGTGATAGAGGCTGAAGCTCTACTCAAAGGTGAGCAGCATCTCTTTTGCATGAAGAGTAACCTGTGTAGATTTGAAATCTGACCTTACACAACTGTATAATCCAAAAATGAGTAAGTACATTCATATACTTTTGGTCATCAGGAAAATCATTTTCGGTTTTTTCAAAAAAAAAAGGGAACATAACAAAACATAAAATGAACATATTTGTTACATTTCAGAAATGCGAGCATTAGATTCTAATGATGAACTGACACCTCTTGGTAAAATTCTGGCCAAACTTCCAATAGAGCCGAGACTAGGCAAGATGATCATCTATGGCTGTCTCTTCTAGTGAGTATCCAGTCCATGATGGACACACATGGGGGTTTGAGGTGTCCTGTCAGTGATGAACATATGGATATTTGAGATGTTCATTCCATGATGAACACACATGGGGGTGTGAGGTGTTCAGTCCATGATATACACACATGGGGGTGTGAGGTGTTCAGTCCATGATAGACCCACATGGGGGTGTGAGGTGTTCAGTCCATGATAGACCCACATGGGGTTGTGAGGTGTCCAGTCCATGATAGACACACATGGGGGTGTGAGGTGTTCAGTCCATGATAGACACACATGGGGGTGTGAGGTGTTCAGTCCATGATAGACCCACATGGGGGTGTGAGGTGTCCAGTCTGTGATGAACACAGGGGGTGTGAGTAGTTCAGTCTTTGAAAGTTATAGGGGTGGATTTGTCCAGTGTATGAGAGACAAAGGGATGCAAGTTGTCCTGTCTATGAGAGACACATGGGGATGAGAGTAATTCAGTCTTTGACAAGCACATGAAAGCATCAGTTGTCCAGTTTATGACAGATACATGCAGTATGACTTGGGTTGGATTGAGGAACTGACAGCTTGTCATTAGTATTGTTAACCTGCTTTGGTAAATTGTAAGTATATATAGTGATTGTGTGTACCTTGTGCTGATGAAAGTATCCTTCTATCCAGATATTGGTTTCCAGGCATTATCTCTGGTACTATGTCACTTGAAATATTTGTATGTCAGTTCCTCAATCCAACCCAAGTCATACTGCTTCAGAACCTTTTGAAGACAATATGTGTGAGTCATGGTTCTGAAGCAGAATGAAGCAATCTGTATTTCGATCTTTGATTTTTTGAGATTTGTGTAGGATTATTGACATGAGTTGCATACTAGATCTAGATCTCAGTGTCATGTAGGTTGACATCTATAAGGTGAAAAGGTCATCCACACCTTATCGCAATATTTCGATTTGCATCATCAAAATTGTTTGGGCATAGACGAATGGAAGATGGTAAGTATCTGAAGGTCACCATAGCCTGTTTTTCGACCTTTTACATTTCTTGGAACGATACAAGTTCAAAGTGAAAGTGAGGATATCTATTTAACTCGGTCGATAATTACACCATTATCCCTAGCAACTTGCAGTTGGAGAGGATGTATGGATGCTATTGTCATATCATGTGTAAATTCATTTCAATACTCAAATTTGTCAGTGCTCTAAGGAAGTCATTCCTTAATGGGTCAACCTCTACACACTTATGATCATAACCCAGATGAACTCAAGTTTCAGGTTGTAAGGTCAAGGTCAGTGTTACTACTTTCCTTATCAAACTTCACACACTTGGCCATCTTTTTTTGCCCATCAGTCAAGGTTGACCCATGAGGGAATTGTATCATTTGCAATTCATTGTGTTATGATTAATGCGTATAGTAATGATTGTGTTTTTTAGCTGCGGAGATGCTGTATGTACTATTGCGGCCAGTACAACATTTCCTGAGCCCTTTATCACCCCAACAGACAGGCGCAGACTTGGTTGGGTCCACAAATCTTTGGCTGGCAATAGGTGTAGTGACCATGTGGCTCTCCTCAATGCTTTAAGTTTGTGGGAAGAGGCAAGGTTAGTATACAGATGTAGTAAACTTGTGGTTGTCACCTGTTGTAAGTGACCAAGTAAGTATACAGGTGTAGTGACCTTATGGCCCTCACCTGTTGTAAGTGACCAAGTAAGTATACAAGTGTAGTGACCTTATGGCCCTCACCTGTTGTAAGTGACCAAGTAAGTATACAGGTGTAGTGACCTTATGGCCTTCACCTGTTGTAAGTGACCAAGTAGGTATACAGGTGTAGTTACCTTATGGCCCTCACCTGTTGTATTTGGCCAGGTAAATGTACAGGTCGTGACCTTATGGCCCTCACCTGATATGGGCTGGTAAATGTACATATGTAGTTACCTTGTGGTCTCCACCTGTTATATATGGCCAGGTAAATGTACAGATGTGGTCTCCACCTGTTGTCAGTGGTAGAATAAGTGTCTGTGGAATTAGACATAAATGGATACTTTTCTAATAGGCATAATAGATTATCAGGGCCCAACACGAAAGTTCCTAGCACATAGCGTGGCCCTTGGTGACCTGTCAGTGATCTAGTTTTATTTTTGTGTCTTTGGGAATTAAAAAGTAAAACTGGTCTTTTTGAAAGATGTAAAGGTTGTAAACAGCCACTCCACATTCTTAAGACAGTTACTGACTTAATCAGAAATGCATTATATTGTTAAAATGATACATTTTTGTAGGTTAAAATTTTTTTGGTTTTCCAAAAATATCCAATTTCATTGACACTTGATATTGTAGTTAAGTTTCAACCAAATCTGCTAGTACTATAATCCATATCAATTTGTATCCTTTTACTATTTAATAGCCATGTACGTTTGTAGAGTAGCCACTCATGAAACAATATTTTTGATTTTACAGTTATTGTGAAAATCTTTCACAGTGAAAATGAAAGGTTGTACCAGTACAAAATAGATTTGTGTAAGCTACTGTAGAAATACTAGAAATATCATCATTAATATAAATCTGAAATAGAAGTCATATTATTATATTTTTAGGATGGGTGGAGAACAGAATGAGATCTATTTCTGTGAACAGAAGTCTCTATCTATGCCTACCCTAAGAATGACCTCAGAAGCAAAGGTAGGTCATGAGATCTCGTTAGATATTAATCAAATCAATGAACCATATCCGGAATGTAAGGATTTAACATGAGTAAGTTTTACATAAAAATGTTCAAATTAGATAAACAACCTTAAAAATTTTCTGAAATTCCAGCATTTAAGAAATAATCTGAAGTTTTTGGTGGATAAAAAATGTTTAAAAATTACTTTAGTATGAAAAGTTTATGCTCAAAACCGCAGTGTGTTTACCCTGACAAGATGAAAAGTAGAACTATGTTGTTACTTTTCTATGTATTTTGTAGTGCCAGCTGCGGGATATTCTAATCAACTCAGGATTCCCGGAGGAATGTCTGTTGCCACAGGTGTACAACTACAATGGACCAGATAGCAACCTTGATATGGTTTGTCATCTATATTTCTGTCTATTTCACCCAAGACTGATAGTCACCATAATGTGTTTGTGATTAGCCTTGACTTATGTATGTGTTGACTATTGAATTCTCTAGAAACAATTATTCATAGCTCTCTAAGTTCAATGCGTAGTCCTTGTGAGCTATAGGATCCAACAGAGACATGCAATTTAAAAGGCATTGGAGAACAAACATTTATATCTCATCATGTTTCAGGGTTTTACGTTGGGTTTAATGTCACTTTGACCATGTCTTATATTAGCCAAGCATTATCAATGGTGGGCTATTCAAATCGCCCTGCGTCTGTAGTCTGTCTGTTCATCTGTGCGTAAACAATTTTTGTTAGCACTATTTCTTGAGAAGTACTGAATGGCTATTTCTCAAAAGGCATAAACGCATATGTAGGTTCCCCGTGGTCTCTAGCTGTGCCCATTTGATTTTGGGACTGATCAAGAAACCAAATGGGTGACAGGTGGCTATCTTTGATTTTGACTTTGAAAGATTGTTATTGCTATTTCTTGATAACTACAGCATAGATATTTCTCAAATTTCATACATATGCTCCCATTGGTTTCTCCTGGGACTGCTCAGAAGAAACAAAATGGCCTCTAGGCAACCATTTGGGACTATTTCTGCAAAGGAATGTTCAAATGTCTGATCATTTAGAGCAAAAACAGAGAAGAGAAAAGAAGGGAAAAGATCCAACTTTCAAAGAACATATAACGATCAAACATTGGTGGGCACCAATATCCTTCTGGGATCTCTTGTATTACTTAAAATCTATTGTCAACATGGAACACTGCAATACTGTACCTACATATGAAATCATACTGGGGATGCTTGAGAGTGTAGGGATTGAAAAAAATACATTTCATTTTCCAATAAACATATTCTAGAGTGATATATTACTAGGATTTTTGGAAAGATGAGAAATATGTTTCCTCAGCTGACTCGTAGAATTTATAGATATTAGATGATTTTCCTTCATTGTTTAATATTTATACAAAGTTTGCTGAAACAAAGATAGTTTGCCTCAATGAGATTTGTTTTATTGAAGGTGATTACCCTGCTTTGTATGGGTCTGTATCCGAATGTCTGTTACCATAAGGACAAAAGGAAGGTACTTACAACAGAGAGCAGGGCTGCTTTAGTCCACAAATCTTCTGTCAACTGTAACAACTATGAGTGCAGGTTTCCATCCCCATTCTTCATCTTTGGAGAGAAGGTAAGGATAGTTTGTTTATTGTTTATTTTGTTACTGGATATTAAATCGTCTTCTTCAATAATCTGTCTTGACATCATACAAATAGCAAGTATAGCCAGCCTGATAATATTATATGTTTGATTTGGCCACCTGGATAGACATTGTCAGTATGATTCAGAGAAAACCTTGTCAAACAGGAGAATAAATCTTGGCATATAGTTTCTCTACATGAGAGGATGAACTCTATCAATTTTCATAGTCAGAGGTCAAGTTTACTGTAGGTCAGTTGATGATATAGTCCAAGAACGTTCCTGTGTTTTTATGGTGCCCCTTTTATTGATATCAATGTTGCAGATCCGAACCCGTGCAGTGTCATGTAAACAGATGACAATGGTGTCACCTCTACAGCTACTGCTGTTTGCTTCTCGCTCAGTTATCTACCAGGAGAATTTCATTTCACTGGACAACTGGTAAGTAAACAGGGACAGTAGAATTTCATTTCACTGGACAATTGGTAAGTATACAGGGACAGCTTGCTGCAGTAAGGTCAGTAACAGGTGGTCAAGGTCACATTCTTTGTTACTAGAATCAGACTGATTATCATTGTCTGGGTCATAATTCTGCTTCTTCTACATCCAAGTTCACTGTTGGTGCCAAAATCCCTCTGGGATCTCTTGTTGTATATCATCATGTACTTTAAAAATATTCTAAAAATATTAATAATTTATTACTCTTTGTTGAGTACTTCTGTTGTACTGGACACAAGTATGCCTACTTCTTACACTAACATTTTACACTTTTGGATGTTATTGTTTTGTGTAAAACCTTGCCACCTAACAGGTTACTGTAGTTTGTTCAGTGGTTGTAACGGATACATTTGCAGTGGCTATACTGTTACTGTAGCCTTTCAATATGTGTAGGCAAGTTGTATGTGGACCAAATCAGAAGTAAGAAGGTGTGGGAATCACCTGGTTGAACATGTGAGACATATGTTTCTCTCAATTTACTACATTTATCCCTTAGTAGACCCGCTACCTGCTTCCATTGGAGCCAGAATAAGTGATAAATTTTAGAGTAAAATAATCGGTTTAGCTGCTGAAATAAAATTTCTATAGTTTTGAAATGGAGTATTTACTTTCTAATCAAGGTATCAAAAGGTTTGGATCAAAGATTTGGTTGAAACTAATGTAGATTACAAACACTTAATTTAACAAATAATGTGTTTGCACAGGATCAACCTCAAGATGGACTATAATGCTGCAGCAAAGATAGTTGCCTTGCGTCCAGCCCTGGAGGCCATGATAGTGAGGACCACATCAAATCCAGAGGGAGTGGGAAATCCTAGTCCACAGGAAGAGTCGCTTCTGTCTGTTATAAGGGCACTGTCAAAGCCACGTGCAGGAAAACATGGACTTCAAGATGATATGGGGTTAGTTGATTAAATCTAGTACAGAAAAATGAAATTTTCTTTTCAAATGAAATTCTAAACTTGCTTCAGTGTGTATGGTTGACTGCCTGCTGATACTTATTGAAGTAAACAGATTATTGTTTTCATTTGAGAAGGCTTTTAGAGGGGCAGGCATGTCTTTCCAGTAGATCAATTAAATTCAATTCAAATTCAATTTTAGAAAGTTCAATTTCCATGAGAGCTGGAGCAACTGTGGTAACCATTATTATCAAACCATATTTAAATTGAGAATGTTGATCACTTTAATCATAAATGTATTTTCTGACCTGCGGTACTTGTGTTTAATATTGAAATTGCCCTTTGTCCGTCCGTGAATTATTTTTATACCCTCCGCAACGAAGTTAGGGGGGGGTATACTGGAATCAGGTTGTCCGTCTGTCTGTCTGTAGACACATTTTGTCCGGCTTACTCCTCCTAAACCTGTGAACCGATTTTGATGAAACTTTACAGGAATATTAAGGATCATGTGTAGATATGCATGCCTCTTTCTTTTTTTGAAAATTTTGGTTGCCATGGTAACCGGTCACTATAAACAAGTTTTCTAATAAATGTCCATAACTCCTCAGTTATTTGACCGATTGTATTCAAACGTAGTAAAAAGATGTAATTCAGTAAAGCCAATAATTGGACAAATTAGATGTTTCCCAAACTGTTAGCCCGGAAACACAATCCTGGCCTCTGATTGGTCAAAATTTAGATATTGTCCAATTTTGACCAAATTTGGTATATAGGGTTATTAGGGGATGCCAAACATTATAAAATAGGTTTCGTTGCCATGAAAACATGAGTGTTTAGTGTAGATCAAGAAGATAACGGCAGACATTTTTTCAGTTAAACAAATTTGCCACTTATTATAGTGACCATTTTTTTGTCTCTGTGGCCCTTCAGTGGAAAATATTACTCTTGATCATAAACAACATGTATTCCACCCCTTCTGATTTCCAGAAATGCAGGCACATGCAGAATATGTCAATTACTCTCAGAATAACACTTTAACTTATCCATTGACTCATTGCAGTGTGCCGGAGGGGGGGGGGTTGTATTGGTCAGCCATCTAGTCGACAGTTCTAGTTGTTATTGCTATTTAAGGGGTACTGAAAGGATTTTTGTGGAGGTTCGTTCACCTTGGTCCTTAGTTTTCTGCATTTGATTTTGGGACTGATCAGAAAAACAAAGTGGCTTCAATGTGACCACATTGGATTTGGCAGTTGAAGATTATTATAGCTATTTCTGCAAAGGGTTAATTTTCAAATTTCTTATTATTAAAAGCAAAAGCAGAGAAGTAAAAAAAAAAGTAAAGAAGGGAAAAGATAAAACTTTTATATTACATATAAGTATCAAACAATGACGGGTGCAAGGATCCTTCTGGAATCTCTCGTTTATTTTCTGATGTATGTTTTATTTAAACATTTACAGTCAGCCTGGTGGAGCTACAACCAAGTTTCAGCGAATGGGTGGTGGTTTTGGTGGACGTGGAGGTGGGTTTGGTGGGCGTGGTGGAGGATTCGGAGGTGGTGGATTCCGAGGAGGATTTCGGGGAGGATTCCGTGGACGAGGAGGTGGAGGATACGGTGGGGGTGGAGGATATGGAGGGGGCAGAGGAGGTGGAGGATATGGAGGGGGCAGAGGGGGTGGAGGATATGGAGGGGGCAGCTATAGAGGATTTGGTGGTGGTGGATTCCGCAGTGGTCCTAGAGGAGGGGGAGGATTCAGTGGTGGTCCACGTGGAGGATTCTGACAGAAATATTTGTCTTCAATGCCATTTAGTGAAAAAAAGTTTTGAAGACTGTTATGTAGTAAAATTAAGCCTCGTTTTATTGATCAGTACAAAAGATGTATTGTGTCATACAAGTTTTGAAATATAGTGTGTTAATGAATGAGGCCAGAAGAGAATTCTTTTTTTTTTTTACCTTGCATGTTACTAAAATTGCAATATTTTCATATATGTTATTGCTGGACCAATGCATAGATGCCAGAGATTTTCCCCACCTCTTGAACGTAGACATATGCATTTACAAGAAAATGCATAGCTCAAACACAATTGATCTTGTTGCCATTTTTGTGTTGATGACTTTGTCATTTGTGGTCTTGTCCCTTTATTTGTATTTCTTGTTAATGGTGTGATAAAATTAAAAATAAAACTTAAGAGAAAAGTCATTTTCTGTTGTTACTAATATTTATACACTTTCGTTTTTGTTCCAAGATTGATGGGCTGTTAAGAATGTCATAATAATAATTATTGTTCCAAGACTTTTTCAGTTCCTAATTTTTTTCCCTTACATGCTTGGGGAATATTGAACTAGTAAACTTTTAACTTATAAAGAATTGCATAATTTTTGTTACATAATTTTCAATGAAGATATGGCATTGCTAAAATTCATATTTCAGTTTTGACGCCAAAAATTACACATGGCAAAATATACCCAGTATATACCGGTACTAAGATCTGATAGGTCAAATGCCCAGGAAGGTTACATATGAACAACTTTCACATGATAAAAATAAGGCCGAGGGTGCTGATATTGGGCCTGTTAGATGCTTTAACAAAGGGTTGCCAGTTTTTTTTCCCAGATGAATGACCTTGACCCCCTTTTAAGGTCACATGGTTCAAATGCTTTAAAATCTTCAAACACATTCACAAAAGTCATGAGGCCCATGGTGCCGATATTAGGCCTGTATTAGGCTGGGATGAAGGGCTATCAAGTATGCATTCAAATAAATCACCTTGACAAGATCTTGAAAAGGCAGCAATTTAAACCACAAGATGGCAGCTTGCTGGTTTAAGTATGTTGGGTGAAATTCACTCCAGGGGTTGAAGGCTGGTGCCAAAGATGGTGAAATTGACTAAAAAATATTTTTTTCAATACCTATAAATGAAAGAATCAAATACTCTAGATAGATGGAAGGATCTTGGTATTCCACCCAAATCGTGAATTTCAAAAATGTCGGGGTCCCACACTCTTCCTTTGGGAGAGGATAAAATTTACAGGAAAATCATGTTTTTGAGCATCATTTGTTAAATGGTCATTGGAAACATGGTTAGAATTATTAGTATGGGATGGCAGATTGATAGCATACATATATGTATAGGGTCTGGTGGGTGGGGCCAAACTGACTGCAATATTTCAGTACTCCGGTGTCTGTTAAGTCCCGTAGGCCTCTTTGTTTGATAAGATTGGCACTTGTGCCGGGGATCTCATCATATAGAATACTTACCAAGTCATCCATACATGAAATTGTGCTATGGGAAAAAATTAAGGCAGATGAAATTTAACTCGTCCAACTGTCTTGTTATGGCATTTGTTGTCTGTATTAATGAAAAAGCTTTCCAGACTAAGATCAAGTTTACATCTCTATCTTAATGGTGTTTGTCATTTACTATGTCACAAGGATATTAAATGCTTACCAGGGACATCCATTCCATTACAAATAAGAAACTTATTGACATTTTCCCATGTTTATTTTGCTTGATAACACAAGTGATGTGGTCTTGTTTGTATACATCTTTCAGTATATCGGAATGACTTGCATATATATATATATATATTGTCAGCATAACAAACTACAATACTATTTTATCAGCGACTTGATAAATATCTTGTACATATCTCAGTGATAAAACAGTACATAAAAGTCTTTATGTTACCCATAAACTGATATGACAATGTTAACAAAAGATTCACTTGACGTACACTTGATTTTTCGTAGTATTGGTGTACGGACAGATGAACAAACTATAGATTCATGACAGTATTTTCACATAAAAAAGTAATATTTAGGGAGCCAATGTTATTCTGTTATAGACCTTGATCCTAATGTAATTTTTTTGGTCCAGAAAAGAAGTTGTTTAAAGAAAAAAGTTGATGACAGACTGACGAAGAATGCCGTACCACAGCATTAATCACATTTTCACCTGACATTACATTGCAGATAATCTTTCTGTAAGAAATTCTTAATTAAAAATTCATTAATTGTTATTAAATCGTTACATCTTTATGGAATGAAAAACTCTATAGTACTTTGATTTTTATTACAGTAATCCATTTGAAATGAGAAATTCTTGATTATCACACATATCATAACTTATGAATCACATGGCTTGTAAACACGAGTGTACTTTATCTGGAGAATATGCTCGGTTTTCTTGTGTACATAAACTCCTGTCTAGAAAATGGAACATTGGAAATTACTTCAATCATAGCTATGAGATGCTTGATATAAAAGGAACGCATTTGATAAACAACCAAAATTTTCTTTCTCAAGAACAGTCCAGCTGTTTCAAAACCAACAGCGTCCAAATATTTTTGAAGATTTCCTTCCTGTTGATGGCATCCAGCAGTTTCCTTTTCTTTGGAGTCTCCTTATCAACAATGTCCTGTATTATACCAGTGCTGCTGTAATCAGGATGTTGGCAAATTTGCAATGGATGTGGCAAATTTGAAGTCATCCGGGAACAAGAGATGGGCCTTGGGATACATTAGTTTGTATGATTGCCTAATAGTCACTTCAGCAACACCAGCGATCTCCCCTATCTCTGAAAGTGGCAATAGATCATAATATTATACTTCTGTGCTGTTTTCATTCAATGACATGTAGTTTTTTACAAAATATTTCTGAAATGTTCTTACACAGATACATCAAAAATTGTACTATCAAAACATGTTACATATTAAGTCCAAAAATATTTAAACATTTTCATTATTAAAATAAAACTTGTTTCATGCAAACTTACCCTGCTCAGACTTTTTTGTAGCAGATCCCTGAGAAGCCATGTATATGGCTGCTGCTGCTACGGAAATTGGACTTCGTCTGTAAAATAGAGAACACACTGTATAGAGATTGGGACATTTTCTAATATACATAAATCTTCTTCACAAGACCCAGATATGGTAAAATACTCTTCGTGAATGGAAGCATCTTAAGGTGCTTTACCAAAATTGTGAATTTTAAAGCCCAAGGGTCTCGCATTTTCCCGTGGGGAGGGGGTAAAGTTTACTATAGTTTATATAGGAAAACTAGATTTTTGAGCATAATTGTTTAATTTCCATTGGAAATATTTCTTCTTTTCTCTTTTTCTGTATATTAGAAATAATCTTTTCAGATGAAATCAAAACCTTGCAATGCATTGTGATAAAATACAATTCTAATGTGAGAGGAAAGACCCCAAGTTTACCGGGAATCAAGAGTCCATGAAAAAACACCGCATCAGATATAATCACAGATATGTGGTCAGCTAAGAATTGAGGCCAACACAAAAATATTAAGAAACCATCTTATAGAATGCAACCAAATATCAAGTAGTAATGATGAAAAACCTACCCAGCCACGAGGTCCATATCCACTGCCTTCCTGGCAATCACAGTTGCTGCCTTTTGTACTGACAGAGGAAGGCCAAGGTTTGAACAAAATCGAGACTGAAAAAAAAAAGAAAAAAAAATGTTGATTTTACACTCCAACTGCATTGATTACCTGATCACTCCAGCCACCATCTCCTATAAAGAGTCAATCAACTCTGAAAACATTTTAAAGGTCTTGCATAGAAAATAACAACGAAGAAGATCTTATATACAAAAAGTAAATAATAGTGAAGAATATACAAAAGAAAACTAACATGAAACTTGTGAAATATTGATACATGCTGTATACCAAATCTACAAACCTTGTTTACCTTTGATTTATGTCTAGCTTGAGTTGGTATGTACCATGACATCCCTAGTGTTGTATATCTAGCTTGAGTTGGTATGTACCATGACGTCCCTAGTGTTGTATATCTGCTTGAGTTGGTATGTACCATGACGTCCCTAGTGTTGTATATCTGCTTGAGTTGGTATGTACCATGACGTCCCTAGTGTTGTATATCTAGCTTGAGTTGGTATATACCATGACATCCCTAGTGTTGTATATCTAGCTTGAGTTGGTATGTACCATGACATCCCTAGTGTTGTATATCTAGCTTGAGTTGGTATGTACCATGACGTCCCTAGTGTTGTATATCTAGCTTGAGTTGGTATGTACCATGACGTCCCTAGTGTTGTATATCTAGCTTGAGTTGGTATGTACCATGACGTCCCTAGTGTTGTATATCTAGCTTGAGTTGGTATGTACCATGACGTCCCTAGTGTTGTATATCTAGCTTGAGTTGGTATGTACCATGACGTCCCTAGTGTTGTATATCTAGCTTGAGTTGGTATGTACCATGACGTCCCTAGTGTTGTATATCTAGCTTGAGTTGGTATGTACCATGACGTCCCTAGTGTTGTATATCTAGCTTGAGTTGGTATGTACCATGACGTCCCTAGTGTTGTATATCTAGCTTGAGTTGGTATGTACCATGACATCCCTAGTGTTGTATATCTAGCTTGAGTTGGTATGTACCATGACGTCCCTAGTGTTGTATATCTAGCTTGAGTTGGTATGTACCATGACGTATCAAACATTGTATATCTAGCTTGAGATGTACTTACCATGAAGTCCCCTGTGGTAATTAAAGCTACGTTGGTTTCCAAAGTCTTCAGAATCAGTTTAAACACTCGACCAATTTCCTTCTTGGATATCTTAGATACAGCACATATTTCTGAAAAACATCACCAATGTTGAGGTTTTGTTTCAACCTATTCTTAAAGACAGTTCTCGACCCCATGCTTGTGAATATCTTAACATTCATCAGGAGATCGGATTTATCAGACTCCCTGACTTTAAATATTCTTTTTTCTTTTGTGGTAATTTTCTCTAACAAACTGTACTGGATAATAGAAATTCAGTCAATTAATGTGGTGGAACATGTGTACAATATTATATACTTAAAGAACATAAACTCAAAAGAGCGTAAACAATTCTAGTACTCCATTGATAAAGCCAGTGTAATACATACATTTTACAGACATAAATCTGTATTTACTTATGGTTTTATTTGTACATCTTGTTTGTACAAACTACCAGTCTGTTGATAACGGTGACCTACCTTTGAACGTCCTGGGCACACCTTCCTGGCGACAGGCGATGTACATACAGGCTGAGGCGATGGCGTCATTACTGCGTCCCTTCAAAGTTTTGCCTTCATGGACTTGTTTAAATAGTGTATTTGCCCGATCCTATCATAAAGTCAAATATTTTACTTGATAACATAATAATACAGTACAAGAACACTTACCTTTTGTTTAAAACTCTCAAATACAATGATAATAAATTCCAATCATATCAGCGAGTTACAATAATTTCATATTTAGTACAAGAAATTCAGAATACCAATAGACAGAAGTCATTAAAAAGCTGATATATCCTAACAATAAACATGAGGTCCCAGAGAGTTTAATCTTTTCCCTTCTTTTCTCTGTTTTTCCTCTTAATGATAAGACATTTGAACATTCCTTTGCAGAAATCCACAATGGCCACCTAAGCCATTTTGTTTCTTCTGCTCAATCCCAAAATCAAATGACCAAAAGGAGAGACCAAAGGGAACATACATATGAAATTTGGGAAATGACCATTCAGCACTTCCTAAGAAACAGGAATAACAATCTTTATTAGGTGAAATCAAAGATGACTGTTTTTCTGATCAGACTCAAAATAAAATGGGCACAACTAGGGACCAAGGGGAACCTACATATGAAATTGAAGAAAGATCCATCCTGTCCTTCGCAGGAAATAGTGATAATAAAGTCAAAATCAAATATGGCCACCTTCCACCATTTTATTTTTCTGATCAGTCCCAAAATTATATGGGCATAACTAAAGACCAAGGAGAACCTACATTTGAAAATTGAGAGAGATTTATCTTTTACTTTTCACGAAATAGCAATAACAAACTTCATTGAAAAATTCCAAGATGGCTGCCTGTTGGCCATTTTGTTTTCTTTGATCTGGCCTAAAATCCAATGGGCACAACTAGGGGCCAAGTGGAACCTACATTTGCAATAAGAGAAAGATCCTTCCAGTACTTCTCAAGAAATAACAAAAATTGTTTACGAACGGACAGATGACGGATCACAGACGCAGAGCGATTTGAATAGCCCACAATCATCATATAAAACTGAACTTCAATCTTTTGTGAAGTGACTGTTACTGTAGACTTACTGCAATCATTTTAGGTAAGTTGAGTCTGTCCCCCATCTGGTTGATTTCTCTAAACGCATTAATTAATGCTCGATCAGAACTGTTAATCTGAAATAAAAAAGTCAATTATGTTTATAGAAGACTGTTTCTAATAACCAGTTTAGTACATGTGTAGCATCTATTTCTTTATACAGTGCCAAAGTTGCATGTTTAGTGATGAAATCTCAGAATTTCTTATGTTCAAAAAGAAGGGATGGTGTAAGCACAATGCTTCAACAAAGCATACTAAATAAATTTTTTTACCGTTCTACGATTTCTGTACATAGGCTTTCCAAATTCATCTGTCATCATCTCCTGTTTTGGGTCCATAGCAATCATAGTAGACAAGTCACTGCCATCTAAGAGAGGGTTCTGGAAAGAAAACAAGTCTTCATATTGTACTTTAAATTACACATGATACAATAAAATTGGAATATTTACCAAATACTAAATTCAATTAATTAATATATTAAGTAAAGAATGAATGTGATAAATTTGATGAGACAATGGGTCTGTGATAGTGAAATTAACTCACACACACTATGATATGCAATAATTTCTTTTCAATTGTGAATCAAAATTGGTTGGCATCTAGCTTGAATGTGACTTGAGTATACACATTTTCTGAAAAAGGTTTTTGTTGCTCGAATCATATCAATCAACGCATGTTCAAGATGGCCACTGTGAAAACAAGCAGCCAAAAAGATTTTTGATACAACTTCAAATCAACTTAAAGTGAACTAGCTAATACCTAAACATTTGAACCACACAAAGTCTAATATAACTGTGGTAGACAGATACCCAGTATCAGCCTAGTCAGTAGAAGTTCCGTCCTTACCTCTGCTGACCCTACACGAGAGGGATCTTTGGTGTTTTTCTCATTACTGAAGGTCCTCCACTCTGTTCCAACATCTACCACTCTGTAGAAATGAACAGTGAAAAAATCTATTCAGAATATCTGATAATTTCTTATTGTAGTTCAGAAAATTATGTTGCAGTCATGTATCAAACACACATTACCTGGCATCTTCGACACTCCAGGGGTTACAATCACTTTCACTCTCTGCACCCCTGGAACATGTCACCGCACAATTGAAGACACAAGTGAATTACTTAGATTCTAGGAGAAAAAAGACCAATCACTGATTTATAAGCTCATTTTGAAGATTACATTATGCAACCTCAAGATTCATTTGCTGTACATCCAAGGATCAAACAAGTCTTTTTGTCTTGTCCACAAGGGGATGCACATGGAACCTTCAATTTTGCCATAACATGTTACATGGGCGCAGGGAGCGAAAGAGATTGTAACCCCTGAAATATTGAGGATGGTTAGCTGGATAGCATGTTGTATCCCTAAATAAGAAACATTTTATTTGTACAAATACATATAATTTTTGACATAATTTGTTTTCTGTCCTTCGGGGTGAAGCAAACATGATATGACTTAAATGCATTGCACTTTTCCCTGTGGGTTGCTGTTGATGAATGTATAGAGAGAACAGAATTTCAAGGCATTTTTTTCTATGAACATCTTGTAATATGTTACTGTTCTTTAATAGTAATACTCAAAAAGAAAAAAAAAAGTAGAAAACAATGTTTTAATTTCTTTACATAAGTCATATTTATAGAATAACATTGACAAGCCAAAATTCCTCTATAGGATTTGCTGCTAAGTTGAGTTTCAACACATACATTTTTATCACACTGCACATGTTCTGAATTTTGTTACATATCAAACTTTACAAGCACAGAACAGCATGAAATCTGTGTACTTCTTGGGTCACTGTGTCAGACTACATGGTAGAGTGATTTGGTGTTATAACTACTATACAGTATAATGCTAAAACTTCTGAACAATTTGCAGCAATTAATTATTACAGCATGATGTTAACGCTCCTTATTGCTTGAGGGAATCTGTTTAAATGGAACAATTCAGCTTCAGGTCTGTATATTTAACCATTTTCTTTAATTAATTTGACCAGGGTTTTCAACTTATGAAATCTAGACCTACCTACTGATCAAATTTTGCTTTCTGATGAGCCTCAAAAAATTTTTTTTTGAGGCCTGAATAAACATTTGCAGGTCATTCGTAAATCATAACTAAAATGTTACAGAATAAACTGATAAAAAAATTTTCAGCATAAACAAACAGGTCATAAGTGTTTATATGATTTATGTCTAGCTCAAATATTGGTAGGAACTTATGGGGCTATTTGTGATTGTGAGAGGTGATGACTCCAAGCATTAGGCCTCTTGAGTCAACCTTTTATCTTGATATTCAAATGACGGGATTGCTTCCCATTTCAACATTTTGTGTAGTATTATTTTTTGTATATGAATAAGATTAAACTTCTCGCGTAACATGTTTGCACATCATTGATAATGCTTGCTATCTCCATTGTCCTTGTCACTGCATCTATATAGTTGATTTGTGTTGCAAATAAATATTTCTCACAAACATCAACCGAACCCTAGTTTAAAACACTAAATTAACACATGATGGCTGTGGAGATTTCGTGTCTATTTAGTATTTACCTGTCTCCAACAACAAGCCCACACTCGGGACAGATCATATCTCCAGCATGGTAGTCCTCCACCAGAGGGGCATCTGGGTGCTGTGGACAATGAAGCAATGGACCTGCTCGTCTGTAACAAACAATATGTAAATCACCAATTTATCCTGCGATTTCAATCCTTGTGATAAAACAAAATCCCATAGTGACTTTGATGCCTGTCATTGTTTGATTATTTGTTCTCTAATAGTTTGATATTTTCTCTGGCGTTGTTAACATTCTTAATTATATAAAGTCTGAAAATTCCTCTGAAGAAATAGCAATAATAAATGTTAAACTTAGTGTCACCAACCTCTGGTCAGAGCCTTTAAAAATTACATGGTGCAAGAAAGAGTCATACAGGAAAAAGGCCTTATAACCAATTCTATTGTACAGTACAGTTATCATATTTGTGTTTACATTATGTACTGTTTGATGTTTAAGCATTATTATCACTACTACCAATATATTTAATCCAAAAATTCATAAAATCTGAAATGCTGATCAAAATAAAGAGATATCAGTTGATTCTAGCTTTGTTCATGATTTGAACAGGTTATTTGAGAAAGATCCTTCTGTATTTCACTTTTCTGAGTGGTCCCAAAATTAAAAGGGCACAACTTGGGACCAAGGGGACCGTACATATCCAACTTGGGAAATATCTTTACAGTCCTTGAGAATGTAACTCTAGTAATATACTAGCCGCAATATACTGCTCAGCTAGAGAGACATTCTCTCTAGCACAATCGGTTGAGAAGTAAGGCAGAGATCCAGAGTGCAATCCTAGCGGAGGCATTGAAATAAGTGTTGATCTCTCTTACATTGGTGACCACGTAAGTGACTCAGGAATAATGCTTAGCGTTACTGTTGTGCGAGCCATTGTCCAACTATAATATACGTTTTCTATTTTTTCTTCTCAGAATGCTGTTTTCATAATTGGTTTGAACAAGCCACTGATGACGGTATTGATACAATATTCCCATATACTCATTATGTACATTTTGACAAGTGCTGATAGAAAGTGGTGTAAGTTGGGCATTCGTCATTTCTCCCTCATTGAAACGGTAAGCAGACCGACTGTACGTATCGGCATTAAATTAACATACAACGATTAATAAAATGTATTTATAACTGTTTTCTCTTTATAGCAAGTATTCATGCCCCCACAATAATGATGTATAAGACATACTGATGTTACAATAATGTCAACAAAACAGACTAACTCATTACCCTTTGCCTGTGCTTGTTGACGCCATTGTTGTGCAATGCTTATGGATTTACACGTCTATTTATAAACTTTCTGACGTCAAATTAAGGCGAGTCGAATATTTAGGATGTCGCGGGTAAAGTTGATCGAAATTCAAGTAGAATGTAAGCTCTATAATCGACGACTTTTTAAAGCAAAGACCATGCTTCCTCCATAAAGTCAAGTATCTGAATGACTTCTCCTCCGGGAGCGGAAACAGAAGAAATTTATCGTGAAAGGTGTGATGCTTTAATGGACTTGCCCATGATACTTCCGGTAAGTCTTCATACATCCGGTTCAATGTCAATAAGTACGAGGAAGGGCAAATATTGTTAGTCTTCGTGAAAGAGTGAAACAACTATATATCAAGGATAATATTTCAGATTTTATCGTAAGCTATGAAACAATTTCGATTGTTAGCAACAGTGTCCGCACTTTCAGCGGGAGTTGGTGTTTTAGCAGGCGTAAATTACGATTCAATACGGAGAATTAAAAAAGATCAGCTTGAAAATGAAAGTAGAAACTATAAATACTACATACCACTACCGACTGTTTCTGCCGCAGCGCCGGCAAATGTCGACCTCCCGACAATATCGAATACTGTTTCTCCCATTCCAGTGACCCCTTCTAATCGGGTATCCGAGATAATGAAGTACGGATTTCCTAGTTTGGACCAAATCAGGTCATACGATAACTTTGTGCTGAGCTATGACAGGAGAAATAGAACCGCCCATTGGGTGTTCGAACATATCAAACCTGAACATATTCTTGGAAAGAATGACACAGATAGAGAAAATTCGATATTCCAGGAAGATTATTCAATCCATCCTTATTTCAGAGCCACCAACTATGATTATAAATCCAGTGGATATGATCGTGGTCATTTAGCTGCTGCAGCAAATCACAGACACTCTCAACATGCCATGGACCAAACATTCACGTTGAGTAATATTTCTCCTCAGGTAAGCCATACTGTCTATTTGTCAACAGCTATTATATTAAATTATTGTCGCTATTAGGAATTAATTTCCTTACTGGAATGTTGCGTCTCCCTTCTCCAATTGTTAATTATAATATTCTATAACTTAATGATGACTGTTTTCAAAAACACGAGTCATTCAGTATCACCCATACTTCTGGTAGTTTGACATATAATTTACTTTCAAAAAAACAGTCTTCCTTTACTTTTCAGGTAGGGAGAGGTTTTAACAGGGATGCTTGGAATTCCTTGGAGAAGTATGTTCGTGGTATTGCCAGAATGAACAAAAATGTGTATGTATGTACTGGACCTCTCTATCTACCAAGGTAAGCAGCTTGTCAGGCATAAAATACCAATACTCGATATCTGGATGGCAATCAGGTGCAATTTTAATATGTTGAATCCATGTCTGTTTGTAATAAATAAATGCTGACGATAATTGTGAGACTTCTCTGGTCATATTTATTGAACTTGAATGGTTCCAGTCATGATCAGGATATACATAATTCAATACACTTATTTGTTTCAGACGAGAGGCAGATGGGAGACTCTATATCAAGTATCCTGTGATTGGTCCAAATAATGTGGCAGTGCCCACACATTTTTTCAAAGTCATTGCTGTAGAGAATGTTCATGGTGACTTTGAACTCATGTCATTTGTAATGCCTAATGAAGTGATTCCTGACAGTGTTCCCATTAAAAACTTCCTGGTGCCTATAGAGACTATCGAGAGAGCTGGAGGCATTTTGTTGTTTGATAAAATTCCAAAGAAGAGATTTAGTGTCATCAATGGAAAAAGGGTCTGACAAATATAGACTGGTTTCTCCTCTTTGTTATTAACATTAGCTACATGTCTGCCAATGATGATGAAAGAATTTGACAGAAATGAATTGGTATGCACATTACTGTATTGAGCATGTATTTTCATCCAGTGACATTATGTGAAATAGTTCCTGTGATGACATAGCAAATTCATCATCACTTGTAAAGCTTTTTTGCGCTTTTATTTGAATTATGATAAAATGTGCCATTTAACATGCTTTTGTTGAATATATAGTAAATAAGCTTCACACTAATCCCATTTATCTAACTTTAATAAAACATACCATTACAGTTTTCTTTAAAGAAAAAAGTGTGTGATTGGAACTTCATAGATATTTATAAGTTAAGCTATTGTTCACGATAGTCTTTTATAACAAGGATAGTGTATGTGGTTATTATATATTTAGATAATAAGATGTTTATAATGAATGTAATCATAACACTGACACATTTTTTTTGTATTCTACGTCACCAAAACCTACATCTGATTGTGTTCACATTCCTTATAAATGTATTCGTAAACTATATTAGGAAGTGTGCAATATAATTCACACCCCTCATTACGGTGCAAGTTGATATAAGTTCTGGTAACTCGTAAATGATTTTGCATAGTTTTAAGGATCATATGTCTCTTCATTCTTTATAACAAAATACCGCAAAAGTAAATGCTATGAGTGATCTGATTGGTTTATTTTATCAAGTTTACCAAATCTACCAATTTATCAAGTGCCTAGAATATTGGGGACAATTTTGATAAACATTTTGAAATTTTGGAAATCCAGACATGTTTTGATGTTTTGATATATAATTGATACTTCAGGGGTTATGATCACTTTTGATCTAGGTGCCCTTGAAATGTTTCATGGCAAAATTGAAGATTCCATATGCAACACCTCATGGATAAAAATCAGGTATGACAGCTAATTATGTGTCCGTCCACACCTTTGTTCAGTTCTGAACAATTTGTTTCCTTCGTTAAGATTTACACATATCAATCACATGTATAGGGGGGTATAAGTGTTGTTGTTGTTATAATGTTATACATAAAAAGGTTATAGTATGTATATGATCTGTTAATGTGATGCTGCTAGAGAATGTTTGTAGCCTTTGTACTGTTGTACTGGTATGTAATGTGTATCACATTAAAGATAAGTAATGTTGCAGTAAAATCAAAGTCAAACATGCATGTTATGTGTTATTTTGTTTATTACACTGATTCCTATACAATGCTTAAAATATTGGTGTGGTTCAACAAGTAATATGTAGGTGTGGTAAAACCAGAAATATGTAGGTGTAGTATGACCGGTAATGTGTAGGTGTGGTATGTCCAGTAATATGTAGGTGTGGTATGACTGGTAATGTGTAGGTGTGGTATGACCGGTAATGTGTAGGTGTAGTATGACCGGTAATGTGTAGGTGTGGTATGACCGGTAATGTGTAGGTGTGGTATGTCCAGTAATATGTAGGTGTGGTATGACCGGTAATATGTAGGTGTGGTATGACCGGTAATGTGTAGGTGTGGTATGACCGGTAATATGTAGGTGTGGTATGACTGGTAATATGTAGGTGTGGTATAACCAGTAATATGTAGGTGTGGTATGACTGGTAATGTGTAGGTGTGGTATGACTGGTAATATGTAGGTGTGGTTTTTGTGTGTTTTTTAAGTTGATATTGTCTCTGTTTACTCTGTTTAGTAACAACCCATTGACAAAAAAGAAAGAAGGGAAAATTTAAATTTCTTTGTTTATTAAGCAGGAAAGACATATCATAGTCATTTAGACATAGTTTGACTTTTGAATGTGTATATATCTCAACAATACCAGTATCATTCTTACAAATCATTTGGTTAAGTACAAATTTGTGTCACTTAAAAATAAATAAATAATAGAGACAAGAGATCCTAGAGGGATTTTGGTGCCCACCATTGTTTGATCTTAATTTGCTCTTTGATAACAATCTTCCAAATTTAAAATCCAAGATGGCCACCTTTCGGCCATTTTGTTTTTTTGATCAGTCCCAAAATAAGATGGGCACAATTAGAAATAAAGGGAAACCTACATATGAAATTTGAGAGAGATCCATTTCTTACTTCTCCAGAAATAGCTATAACAAACTTTATTGAAAAAATCCAAGATGGCTGCCTCTCAGCCACCCGATTACATGTTTTACAGGATGCCACTATTACATGTATTTTATATATCCTGCCACTCCAATTTTGTATATTCTGCTTCTCCTATTTAAATATCTTGTAATCATATTTTGATATCCTGCCAAATTTTTTTACGTAAATTGTCACTCATAACTCGGCATAACTTGCCAGTTAAATTTTGTGTATCCCGACACTCATACTGTATATAGATATATTGGTATATCTTTCCACTTTTTTCATACATATTTTCTCACTCCTGTTTCCTATATCCTTCCACTTATATTCAATATATCTTGCCACTCATATCTCACATTTTCTGCTACTCTAAAGCACCATTTCCATCACAAAAAGCAATGAACATGTCATAATTATGATTGACAGATTGATAGAAGATTGATATCTATATCACAGAAATCCCATGTCATGTGTTACATATACATCACTATATTGTTAATATCAGTCTGCCAGGGTCTGAAGCACCTGTAAATCTATTTATAACCATAAATAGCTATGAATCCTATTGTATGTCTCTCAGATATACCTATCCAATACATCACAAATGTGAATTACAGACTTCACACTCTCATTACAGCTCAGCATCCCTCATATATCACTAATTGCTAAATAAAAACAAAAAGTTGTCATACAAAAATAAAATCATTCTAACCCAAAATCTAGCTATTAACAACAAAAACAGGATTAAATATTCAGTATGTTTATCAATAAAACTTGACAAGCAAAATGAACTCAACTTAGTTACCAATCACAAAAATATGTATATATACACACCACACACTGGTAAGTAATTTGTCAGCAAACGAGAGAAGTCATAGACTTTAAAAAAATATTCTTTATTGTAAAAGTAAATAAACATGAGAATATGATAAATATTTGAAAAAGATGATATGACAGTAACAGTTAATGATATTAATGATGATTAGATCACAGGCGATGGTTCTCAATCACAACCTCAATAGACATGGAACAACTCCCGGTCAGTTGTGTACTCAGTGCGTTAGTCCTTTCCTCGTCAGTATCATTTTCATCCAGTGTAGAAGTCACTGTTGCTTCACTCTCACTTTCTGGATGCATGCTGTGGTCTAATTCATTGTGTACATTTGGTTTTGATAAACTTCTGATTCTGCTTGCTATTGATAATGTAGATACATGACCACGTTTGTAACAAACTCCCAGATTTATAGCCAACAGCCTAGAAAACAGAATTATGTTTTGAAGCATGAGTTTTATTTAAGGAAATGTTTAAGCTCAAGGAATGACCAAACTAAAAATGTACACCTCCAAAACTGATGCTGAGTTGCCATATAAGTACCACTTTGAGTGTATTGTATAGTCAACACACAAAAAAGCATATTTCAGGGGAGATAACTCTAAAACAACATATACATATGAAATTGAATGTACTGTGAACCCATGCTTTACTGTCCTACTTCCTTTAGAATATCATACTAAAAACATATCAGTATAAAGACAGCAGTCATGTTGTCACAACATCATATTTCGCATTGAAGAAATAGAACCTATATTTATACAACAAATATCAAAATAACTGACTTCTACTGGTTGGACATCAACTTTTAGGAAGAACTTGCCTTGTATCAGTTTAAATCTAATATGGGATTCATAATAATTGTTTTCTTGTGTAGATTTTATTATCAAATGAAACATGGGAAGATTTGCTTCCTGGAAAAACCATGATATTAAAAAAAAAAGATAACAAAAAACTAAAAAAATTGAGAAAAAAAAAAAAATGATAAAAAAAAAAATGAAAAACAAATGAATCAAAAACATACATCACATCAGAAGTGTCTGGTAGAAAATTGTCAGTTCTGATGTCAAACTTACCGTAAACAGGAGAATTCAATAAGCAGCGTGATTCCAATGATGAGAACATTAATGTAGGTCTTAGTAACTACCAGTGTGTGAGAGATGGTGTAGGCAGCAAATGGACAACCAACCATGATGATGAGGGAGAAGAAAGTCTGCAGCCAATGTCTTGGCTTCATGCCCTTCGGGAGCCACGTTGACCCCACATGTAACTTGTACTACAAGTAGAACATATCTATTGTACATCTTTATAAAACTACACTAAAACGAAATGTTTACAAGCCCTAAAGGAGCTATTGGTTAGCCACAATGTGTCAGGTACATTAATATATTACTGAATATATATAATTACTGTAACTTATTTCACAGAATGTCTGCCTTTAAACTTGACATTGGCTTATCCTACTCATAACCTTGACATTACAACACTTTACAAAAAAGCTCTGTCACACATGACCAGCTCCTTACCTTGACAATACAACACTTTACATTAAAGGTCTCTGTCACACATGACCAGCTCCTTACCTTGACATTACAACACTTTACATTTAAAGTCTCTGTCACACATGACCAGCTCCTTACCTTGACATTACAACACTTTACATTTAAAGTCTCTGTCACACATGACCAGCTCCTTACCTGGACATTACAACACTTTACATTTAAAATCTCTGTCACACATGACCAGCTCCTTACCTTGACATTACACACTTTACATTAAAGGTCTCTGTCACACATGACCAGCTCCTTACCTTGACATTACAACACTTTACATTTAAAGTCTCTGTCACACATGACCAGCTCCTTACCTTGACATTACACACTTTCTATTTAAAGTGTCTGTCACACATGACCAGCTCCTTACCTTGACAATACAACACTTTACAAAAAAGCTCTGTCACACATGACCAGCTCCTTACCTGGACATTACAACACTTTACATTTAAAATCTCTGTCACACATGACCAGCTCCTTACCTTGACATTACACACTTTACATTAAAGGTCTCTGTCACACATGACCAGCTCCTTACCTGGACATTACATTTAAAGTCTCTTTACATTTAAAATCATTTAAAGTCTGTCACACATGACCAGCTCCTTACCTTGACAATACAACACTTTACATTAAAGGTCTCTGTCACACATGACCAGCTCCTTACCTTGACATTACAACACTTTACATTTAAGGTCTCTGTCACACATGACCAGCTCCTTACCTTGACATTACACACTTCATTTAAAGTCTCTGTCACACATGACCAGCTCCTTACATTACACACTTTACATTTAAAGACACACATGACCAGCTACACACACACTTTACATTAAAGGTCTCTGTCACACATGACCAGCTCCTTACCTGGACATTACAACACTTTACATTTAAAGTCTCTGTCACACATGACCAGCTCCTTACCTTGACATTACACACTTTACATTAAAGGTCTCTGTCACACATGACCAGCTCCTTACCTTGACATTACACACTTTACATTTAAAGTCTCTGTCACACATGACCAGCTCCTTACCTGGACATTACAACACTTTACATTTAAAGTCTCTGTCACACATGACCAGCTCCTTACCTTGACATTACACACTTTACATTTAAAGTCTCTGTCACACATGACCAGCTCCTTACCTTGACATTACACACTTTACATTTAAAGTCTCTGTCACACATGACCAGCTCCTTACCTGGACATTACAACACTTTACATTTAAAGTCTCTGTCACACATTCCTTACACATTACACACACTTTACATTTAAAGTCTCTGTCACACATGACCAGCTCCTTACCTTGACATTACAACACTTTACATTTAAAGTCTCTTACAACACTTTACATTTAAAGTCTCTGTCACACATGACCAGCTCCTTACCTTGACATTACACACTTTACATTTAAAGTCTCTGTCACACATGACCAGCTCCTTACCTTGACATTACACACTTTACATTTAAAATCTCTGTCACACATGACCAGCTCCTTACCTTGACATTACAACACTTTACATTAAAGGTCTCTGTCACACATGACCAGCTGCTTACCTTGACATTACAACACTTTACATTTAAAGGTCTCTGTCACACATGACCAGCTCCACACTTTACATTTAAAATCTCTGTCACACATGACCAGCTCCTTACCTGGACATTACACACTTTACATTTAAAGTCTCTGTCACACATGACCAGCTCCTTACCTTGACATTACACACTTTACATTTAAAGTCTCTGTCACACATGACCAGCTCCTTACCTTGACATTACACACTTCATTTAAAGTCTCTGTCACACATGACCAGCTCCTTACCTTGACATTACACACTTTACATTTAAGGTCTCTGTCACACATGACCAGCTCCTTACCTGGACATTACAACACTTTACATTTAAAGTCTCTGTCACACATGACCAGCTCCTTACCTGGACATTACAACACTTTACATTTAAAATCTCTGTCACACATGACCAGCTCCTTACCTGGACATTACACACTTTACATTAAAGGTCTCTGTCACACATGACCAGCTCCTTACCTGGACATTACAACACTTTACATTTAAAGTCTCTGTCACACATGACCAGCTTTACCTGGACATTACAACACTTTACATTTAAAATCTCTGTCACACATGACCAGCTCCTTACCTTGACATTACACACTTTACATTAAAGGTCTCTGTCACACATGGCCAGCTCCTTACCTTGACATTACACACTTTACATTAAAGGTCTCTGTCACACATGACCAGCTCCTTACCTGGACATTACAACACTTTACATTTAAAGTCTCTGTCACACATGACCAGCTGCTTACCTTGACATTACACACTTCATTTAAAGTCTCTGTCACACATGACCAGCTGCTTACCTTGACATTACACACTTCATTTAAAGTCTCTGTCACACATGACCAGCTCCTTACCTTGACATTGACCAGCTCCTTACCTTGACATTACACACTTTACATTTAAAGTCTCTGTCACACATGACCAGCTGCTTACCTTGACATTACACACTTTACATTTAAAGTCTCTGTCACACATGACCAGCTCCTTACCTTGACATTACACACTTTACATTAAAGGTCTCTGTCACACATGACCAGCTCCTTACCTGGACATTACAACACTTTACATTTAAAGTCTCTGTCACACATGACCAGCTGCTTACCTTGACATTACACACTACATTTAAAGTCTCTGTCACACATGACCAGCTCCTTACCTGGACATTACAACACTTTACATTTAAAATCTCTGTCACACATGACCAGCTCCTTACCTTGACATTACACACTTTACATTAAAGGTCTCTGTCACACATGACCAGCTGCTTACCTTGACATTACACACTTCATTTAAAGTCTCTGTCACACATGACCAGCTCCTTACCTGTCTCTGTCACACATGACCAGCTCCTTACCTGGACATTACAACACTTTACATTTAAAATCTCTGTCACACATGACCAGCTCCTTACCTTGACATTACACACTTTACATTAAAGGTCTCTGTCACACATGACCAGCTCCTTACCTTGACATTACACACTTTACATTAAAGGTCTCTGTCACACATGACCAGCTCCTTACCTGGACATTACAACACTTTACATTTAAAGTCTCTGTCACACATGACCAGCTGCTTACCTTGACATTACACACTACATTTAAAGTCTCTGTCACACATGACCAGCTCCTTACCTGGACATTACAACACTTTACATTTAAAATCTCTGTCACACATGACCAGCTCCTTACCTTGACATTACACACTTTACATTAAAGGTCTCTGTCACACATGACCAGCTCCTTACCTGGACATTACAACACTTTACATTTAAAGTCTCTGTCACACATGACCAGCTCCTTACCTTGACATTACACACTTTACATTAAAGGTCTCTGTCACACATGACCAGCTCCTTACCTGGACATTACAACACTTTACATTTAAAATCTCTGTCACACATGACCAGCTCCTTACCTTGACATTACACACTTTACATTAAAGGTCTCTGTCACACATGACCAGCTCCTTACCTGGACATTACAACACTTTACATTTAAAATCTCTGTCACACATGACCAGCTCCTTACCTTGACATTACACACTTTACATTAAAGGTCTCTGTCACACATGACCAGCTCCTTACCTGGACATTACAACACTTTACATTTAAAGTCTCTGTCACACATGACCAGCTGCTTACCTTGACATTACACACTTTACATTTAAAGTCTCTGTCACACATGACCAGCTCCTTACCTTGACATTACAACACTTTACATTTAAAATCTCTGTCACACATGACCAGCTCCTTACCTTGACATTACACACTTTACATTAAAGGTCTCTGTCACACATGACCAGCTCCTTACCTGGACATTACAACACTTTACATTTAAAGTCTCTGTCACACATGACCAGCTGCTTACCTTGACATTACACACTTTACATTTAAAGTCTCTGTCACACATGACCAGCTCCTTACCTTGACATTACAACACTTTACATTTAAAATCTCTGTCACACATGACCAGCTCCTTACCTTGACATTACACACTTTACATTAAAGGTCTCTGTCACACATGACCAGCTCCTTACCTTGACATTACACACTTTACATTTAAAGTCTCTGTCATCTTCAATGCACTGTAATAGAAACAAAAGGCCTTCACATAAAAACAGGTGGTAGAATTATCAATTGATAATATCCTCCTTCAGGTTTCAGACAAACAGGTCTAGGATATTAGCTCTAAGGGGATACAAGTTTAGGTTCCAGACAAACAGGCTTAAAATATCAGCCTTAAGGAGATAAAGGTTTGGATTGTAAATGAACAGGTCTAGGATAACTGTTGTTATTTTTGAGTTTCTATTTTTCCTACCTAAGACAATAAAATATGTGAAAAACAGATACCTTGAAAATAATATAGAAATCAGAAGCAAGATTTGGGACTTTTTTGTGATAAAAATACAGCTTTCTAGGAAATTTTCAAAATTGTGAACCATCTAACAAAAATATGTATACAGTATATTTTCAATTTTTCTGTGATGCAATTTTCACCCAACAGATCATTGTAAATCATTTAATACCAATGATATATTTGCTGATATCTTATAAGATATAAAAATTTAGTGCAAGAACCTACTATGATAATATTTTTTCCCATCTACTTTTTTCTGGTAATATCCACAATATTCAATATTTTTTATTGCCTATTTTCCAAAATGACAAAACATATAAAGGTCAATATATAGGTCACCAAAGGTCAAATAAATCATCAATATCATCCAATATTGTATACTTTTCATTTGCACATCTTATTTAATTGTAAAGTTATGTCAAAGGTCAATATACATGTCACAAAATGTCATAGGCCAAATTTGCATATCTTCTTAAAGTTTGAAGTTATGCCAAAGGTCAATATATAGGTCACCAAAAGTCACAGGCCAAATAAATCATCAATACTAATCAATATCTCATAGTTTTCAATAGCACATTTTATTACACTATGAAATTATGGCAAAGGTCAATAAATAGGTCACAAAATGTCATAGGCCAAATAATCATCTGTATTGAAAAATAATATCAATATTGTACTTTTAATTTGCATATCTTCTTAAAGTTTAGAGTTATGGCAAAGGTCAATGTATAGGTCATGAAAAAAAAAGTCTGTGATATACTGACCTCCATCAGCCACTTGCGGAGACACTCGTGGTGAACAGTGGCCATGTCACCCTTACATTCACATGGCTGTATGAGATGTCCTGCATCTTGTCTCTCAGGATCATAACAGATCCAGCAATCCTGTTTCCCATCTGTTGAGGAAGACAACAAATCTTCATCCATACTGAAGAAATGATTTAGTCATTAAAAAAACTATCCAGAGCATTTTATGAACATGTTCAGAAATGACATTTTGTTTATAACTCACAGCAGGAAACTTCTAACAATATAACTGTGTACATGTATATTGTACACAACATTCTTAAAAACAAGGAAGTATGAAACACAACAATGCGTCAACTACCCTATAGAAAACAAGTATAGAACAGACCGGGTCCCGCCTTCAGGAATACAACTTACCGTTAACACTTGGATTACATGAACCGTAAGATTGATATTCTGTGTCCTTGATGTATTTTTCCTCTGTGTTCTCATCAAACACAGTCTTGTCGGTACTAAATAACTTCTTTGGGTTGAGGACCCACAGATTTTCTGGACTGTAAATGCAGCAGAGTAATACAAGATGTTAAAACACCCATTTACAATCTCTATAAACATGTACCCAGTATTTATCAGCAGGTAACACTATACCACTATTGAATTTGGCCTACCCTGTAAACTGGAACTTATTTATCTTTCTTAAAACCAAAGAAAATACTCTAAGCTGAAATTTACCTTTTATTTTTCCTACAACAAAACTCAGGGATTGACACATGTTCTTATTCACTAAATATTAGGAGGCGGCCTTTCTACAGAACTATGAAAACATTATTTTTCATTCTTCTGAATACTGTTAGATATAATTTCATCGTGAACCAGGTTATTGCTGGAAACATAAAAAGATAACAGTTTTTTCTGTTACATACAGTACCACAGATTTTACCAGCTTACTGTTACTTACCAATTATTCTTCATGAAATTAATTATGATTTTTTTTCAAGATATAATTACAGAAATTAAGATTTACTAGGTTGCTGGTATACATGTATCAATTTAGATTTTACCTTTTACAGTTCCATAGGACACAAGGAAACCACACAGCAACACTGAACTCCACCACCCGAAACCCGATATCGTAGAAGTTCTGACTCAGGATTGGCAGTCTAAAAGAAAAATGTAATCTTTCCTATTTATCAATTACCTGGTTTATACAAAAACACTCAAGCATGACTGAAGTTAACGATTTATTGATGATTGTAAACATGTTGTTATATGTACATGGAAAACACAAGTTTTTGGCGCAAACAGGGGCAACTCACTCATAAGCACCTAATAAAATAAGATAACAAGCTGGACTCTGTGACATCAGAGAAGTACAGTGAAGAAGGCAATCGGCTAGACTCCATATAAGAGAAGTACTTGACTCTGAAGAGACTCGGCTCAAAGAGAAGTGACTTGACTCTGTGACTTATTACATATACGGAGTAGCTGCCTTCAAACACGGGACAAACTTGACTCCTAGGGTAACCAATGAGGAGACCCTTGGAGAAGCTTGACTTAACTTCTAAGCTAACTAAGAATATGTAGTGATCACCTAATAAAACTAAACTAACGAGCTTGACTCTGTGACATCAGAGAAGCACAAAGAAGAAGGCAATCGGCTAGACTCAATAAGAGAAGTACTTGACTCTCTGAAGAGACTCGGCTCAAAGAGAAGTGACTTGACTCTGTGACTTGCTATGTATACGGAGTAGCTGCCTTCAAAAATTAAGTTAACGAGCTTGACTCTGTGACATCAGAGAAGCACAGTGAAGAAGGCAATCGGCTAGACTCCATATAAGAGAAGTACTTGACTCTGAAGAGACTCGGCTCAAAGAGAAGTGACTTGACTCTGTGACATACTGTGTATACGGAGTAGCTGCCATCAAACACGAGACAAACTTGACTCCTAAGGTAACCACTGAGAAGACCCTTGACTCTGTAAAGGTTCAGAGAAGTGACTTGACTCACATAGGGTCCTTGGAGAAGCTTGACTAAACTTCTAAAGATACTAAGTATATGAAGTGATTGGGGGAAAAATTTTCCCAAGAATTTATAAGCCAAAAATGAGCGAGTAATTCAGTGATATGAGCGAGTGCCCCCAATCAAGGATTGGCAGTCTAAAAGAAAAATGTAATCTTTCCTATTTATCAATTACCTGGTATACTGTTTTGGTAGTTTTTAGAATACTCCTGTTAACAATGATTTACAAGTGAGGACATCAGTTCTTACACACATTGGTGTGAATGGAGAGATATTTGTATCAAATATCACCACATCTACATGTATTATTAAGGATTCTTGTAAGTATTCAGTAAGTGTCTGGACTTGTTTGTAAATTCATCAAAATGTTTCATATATTTCTTTTCTTTTATACATTGTGGGTCCCTGACTATATTTATATCACATCATTTTATTCCAACTATGTGTATTGTTAAGACTGTTTTTACCTTCATTAGGTAAAAAAGTGTTTCCTGGAAATATCTTATTTCCAATAGGATCTGCAAGATCTGCACGCAGTAGAAGACAGGAAGTGGGGAGCAGATTATATATGTACTGAATAGATAATACAATGTGAAAGCTGGGTAGGGCTTAAAGTTATATCAGGATTGCTTAGAGTTAAATAGTCCCTAGCTTTGTCCTTGATAGGGGAATATAGTAAAGTTAAATGAAAATACCTCACACCCTGAGAGAAAGTAAAGCTCGATATAGACCAAAATGGTACATGCTTTCATCATGACATTAAAGATTTAAACATTGCGTGTCCCTGACTAAATTTATATCAGACCGTTTTATTCCAATTACATGGAACGTTGCCAGAGTGTTGACCTTTTCTGGGGTCGCTGGAGTTTGGTGTTTTCATAAAGAGGAAGTTTTGATTATCGTCGGCAACCAGGACAAAAGTAAAGTCATGGATTGATGGTCTGAACCCTTTTGACTATGGCTTGTGTGTACTGTCTTTTTACTTTTTAAGTTCTGTGTGGTAGTCATGTGTGTCCTGACCAACAAATATGCCTTTAAATCTCGAGTTCTTTCCTCTACCCTGTCTTATTAAGATCAGGAAATTGTGTTTCCTTCAGCAATTATTAATACTTCTTTCATGTTCCTCAAGAGGTGCGGCAAAACAACACATTAATTTGATGTCTGCTTTATACCTTACTGCATTGTCGGGGTCTTTGTGATGGAGTTAAAGGGAAAGATGTCTTTAAATACTTCAAAGAAAAAAAAATATAGTAAATATTGCCTACAGGACACTCATCTTATAATTAGAAATGAGTGTATCCTTGCTATTTCTGTTTAATTCTATAATTAAAGAGGTGATATTATCATTTTAAACAAAAACTTTGAAGGGAAAGCATACAAAGAAAAGAAATGTGTCAGTAGAAATTGTTTAGCTCTTGATATTAATATTGATGGGACCTGACCTACTTTGATAAATCTGTATGTACCAAATCAGGAGAGTCAATAATTTGATAAAGTATATGATGTTTTGGGAATGCGAATATAATACTCTGTGGCTATTTTAATTTTGTTTTAAACCAATGTTAGATTATACTAGTTACAGATTTATAAATACCAATGCAGCTGGAGATAAAACGTTACAAGTTATTGAAGGTAATGCTGCAATTAACCAGGAACTACCATCCACATACTAGAGACTTCACTTGGCAATGAGCTAACCATGTCAAACTGGCTAGATTTGTTTTTCTTCTTGTCTCGCAACCTCTTCTTTCTAATGTTAACAAATCTAGAACTGAACCAGGATATAGATCAGATCATTCATCACCAGTAATAACTTTGACTTTAAGAGAGGGAAGGGATTGTGGAAATTTAATAATTCTTTATCATATGGCCTTGATTATCAAGATAATGTAAAAAAAACTGAATTAATGAGATGAAGGTATTGTTTACCTTTATATATAACATAGATTTTATTTATCATATTCCTGATAGTGAACTAAAATTTTTGAAAAATGATCAGCTGTTTTTAGAAACTTTACTTAAGGAAATTAGAGGTAGGTCTATTTCATTTCCTTCCTGTACGAAAAACACAGTAATCTCAGTGAGAAAAAACTTATAATAATGCAAATAGAATCTGAAGGAAAACTAGACCAGGTTGCATTAGTAACGGAAAGAATGAAATTAGAGCCAATTTGCCTGGAAAAATTATGGTACCATCATTTATTTAAGACAAAGCAGAATGGATAGAGGAGGGAGGAAAACCTACTTCTTATTTTGGAAAAATTTTAAAAATTGAAATAGGTCCATAATTATCCCTAAAGTTCTGAATAAAAACATTTTTGATAACTATATCAGATCTTTTGTTGAGCACTATAGAAATTTTAGTTTATCAGTCGGTCAATGTTCAATTACTTAACAACATACAATTGTAACATGTATTCCAAAGGGAGACAAATCCATTTTTTTAATTTCTTATCTAAAAACAGGTGACTCATTTCTCTTTTAAATGTCACTTATAAAATAGTTTTTCCAGCAATTACACAACAGATTAAATTAATTTTAGGGAATGTCATTCCATTCTGTGTCAATTCAGTTTCTTGGAATTTCATTGATGGAGTCATGGTTTACCAGGTATTTTAACTTTGGGAACAGTATAAGGAAATGGCTTAGATCTGTTTGTATAAATCAAGGTGGTAACAGCTCAAATCAGATGAGTGGATGTTGTCAAGGGGATCCTATGTGGATGTGTTAGCTGGGATTAAAAATAATAACTTTGAGCTTTAATAACTCGACACTGGGGTGATTTTGACGGGGTTTTCATTATTATTATTTTTACGGCATTCTTAACATTATATCTAAATATAAAATTACTCTCAGGGTACACTTTAAGGCAATTGATATTGAGGAAACAACAATACTAAACATTCAGTGTGCAGATGACACTGGGTTAATACTAAGTGGGTCTGAATTTTTTAAAGGAGTCTATTGTTGATTTGAATAACTATGCAAATATTTTGGTCCCAATTAAGATAAATATCATTAAAACATAAGATATTTGGATAAAGAGTAGGAGATATAGTGATATAGTGTGGTAAACAAAAGCTTCACATTCCTGAGTTTTGATCTGATTGAAATTCCAAAAATGAACTTTGATAAAAAATAAAAATACTTCTTAAACTAAAATCTCTTACCAGTACTGTAGAAGACAGTGTTTGACATCGACTGACAAAACAATTAATAAATTCTCTCAGTTTAGGCTGGCTAAGGCCATGGCCAGGGTAAAGTGAAGCATTTCACTGTTTTCTTACTAATTAACATTTTTCACCAATTCTTTTGCTATTCGCCCTGATTCAATCATATAAACACATAAATAACCAAAAATATGTGTTGGGTGGGGAAAGCAATGGGGGGTTGGGGGTTGGGGGGCTGGGGTCACTTCACCATGGCCATGGTAAAGTGAAGCATTACACTATTTTCTTACTAATTAACTTTTTTCACCAATTATTTTGCAATTCACCCTGATTCAATCATATAAACACATAAATAACAAAAAAAGGATGGGGTTGGGAAATTTATGGTGGGGCAGGGGCAGGGGTGTGGAGGAGGGGGGTTGGGGGGAGGGGGGTTCACTTTACCATGACCGTGGTAAAGTGGAGCATTACACTATTTTCTTACTAATGAACTTTTTTTTTCATCAATTCTTTTGCTATTTGCCTTGATTCAATCATATAAACACATAAATAACAAAAACAAACAAGAGGCCCATGGGCCTTAATGGTCATCTGACAAAAAGCAAGCCAAACCTAGAAAGTGGGTTGAGGTCATTCATTTGAACAAACTTGGTAGCCTCTCCTCCAAGCATCTTACAGGCCCAATATCAGCACTCATGGACTTTTGCTTGTTGAGAAGAAGTCGTTTGTATATTTTAACATATTTGACCCCTGTGACCTTGAAAGTGGGTTGAGGTCATTCATTTGAATAAACTTGGTAGCCTTTCCTCCCAGCATGCTACAGACCCAATATCGGCACTCATAGACTTTTGCTTATTGAGATGAAGTCCTTTGTATATTTTAACATATTTGACCCCTGTGACCTTGAAAGTGGGCCAAGGTCATTCATTTGAACAAACTTTGTAGGGCTCCATGCCAGCATGCTATGGGCC